GCTGGTACTGACTCTATCCTACGCCACCTGAGATATCGCTTCCAATCTCTAATCACCACATATTGTTCCAGGATAGTGAGCCCTCAAGCCTGAGTTCCACGATAAGTCACACAGTTGCCTATTGTATCTAAGCCAAAGTAGATTCTGAAGGCCAAATTTTATCTACTGGAGGCTGATAAAATTAATTATAAGATTGCAGATACAAGATACAAGTTGAGCCTGAAGTATCAGGTATTATCACCATGTGGAAATGTCTGGACTCGAGTGAAAAACGTAATATGGTTCTCCAGACTGATACCTTCCGTCACTGAACAGGTAGATATATGCATAATGAAATAACTAGATATTTATTGTACTATCAAACTAGTTACACATGGGGAAACTAAGCAACTGCGACTGGCGAGGACTGCTGAGCCACTTGACTCTCGACCATTTTCTTTTCTGCAAGCTGCTTGTACAGCTGAGCTCGTCCATAAGACTCAGCATACGCAGCTGAAACAATCTGCTCGACTGTGGCAGGTTCAAACTTTGCCTGCTCGTCCGCCTTCTTGCAGGTAGGAATGCAATCAATCATGTAGTCTGGCTGTCCTGACACGAAGATTGGGATAGAGTACCTCTCCTTGCCGGACTTGTTTATGACCCTGTGAACGTTGCTCTTGTACTTCTCGTTGGTCCAACGGCTCATCAGATTTCCCAGGTTGATCACAAGTGCGCCTTTAGTTGGGGCTACATCAATCCATGTCGAGCTCTTCTGGTCCCAAACTTGAAGTCCGTCGACTGTGTCCTGCATCAGCATCGTGATGCCACCAAAATCGGTGTGCGCCCCAATTCCTCTGCTGAGCTTTTCGTCCGCATCTTTCGGTTGGCTGGGATAATGGAGAAGTCTCATTGTAGACACTGCTCCCGTCATATATTGAGAAAAGTAGGTCTCTTCAAGCTCCAGCGACAGGGCCAGTACTCGCATCAAGTCTGCAGCCAGCTTTAGGGCGGCATGATAGTATCCCATCGTTCCATCCTTGAAGCCTTCGAGGCCGTCTCCGAGTGCTTCTGGCCACTGATTTGGCCCACTGTTGAGCTTCTTGTTGATGAAGTAGGGGTGCGATTTATCAATATCTTCCCCGATGTAGAATCCCTCCTTCAGTTCTGGCTGGGTCCCTTCCTCAAGCATTTGGGATCTCAGCATCTCATATCCGCGATTCCAGGTGTTGTTATCTTTAGAGACTTGCTGCTTTTCCTCCAGAGAGAGGTCAAAGAACTTCTTGGCACAGTCCATGACCTTCTTTTGCTTTTCGAGGGGAATAGAGTGCCCAGTAATTTGGAAGAAGCCATTGTAAAGACAACTTTCGCGAACTTGATCAACGACTTTTTGCTTTAGAACGGGATCTTCGGAATAAAAGCCTGTTGAGCACCGGTTGTCAGCTTCACGTCCCTGAGACACACACACACATCTTCTCGATGTGCTTTTAGGTTTCACGGTCTAGAGTCGGCGCAGGAGCCGTTTGGGAGGGGCTTATTCTTACCAGAGAAATCAATAATGGGGATGCTGAGCTCAGGCATTGTGACTGTGGAGGTTTGCGTTCCCAACGATACTGGAAGTGATCTTAGCTACTGAGTATGTATTGTTGAAGTGGTAGTGACGTGGAGTAAGGCTGGCGTAGAATGAGACTCTTAGAACTCTTGTATGAGGCAACAAAAATATTATATTTCTTGGTTTCTTTCACCATCCCCATCTGTATCTGGTGTATGGTCGCTGACGAGGTCACATTGAGCTCATTCCTGCAGTCTGCAAGAGGAGGGGACGCTGTCTCCCCACCCTTTCCGTGGACTCAGCCGCTGCCATCTCTTGTCTGCCACTCGGCTGTCCGAGTCCGAAGTACGCCTTGGAGTGAGATAGCGCGAGTCAAGGATGGGGGGTTTTGTGGGGTGATGTCTCCCAAATGCTTGAACGGCCAATTCACATTAGTAGTAGATACGAGAGTGGGGGAATGTATGTGATCCCCACCCTCAGCTCTAGCTCAAGGGCCCAGGCATGATTAGAGTTTGGAAATGATTAGGAAAGCGGGATTTGACGGATAATCTCGGATCTAAGACGCCCTATTCTCATCCGTCAGACGTGGGCTTGTACGGTTGAGCTGCATAGAGTTCTCATTACTGACCCATCTTCTGTTACAGGGCTAGAGATCATCATCTTAGGGGTTCTGGTTAACCCGTGGTGAACACGCGGTTACTCGCCTAGAGTCTTGGCACTTTCAGTCTGTAGCAGGTTCATTGTTGAGAAGGTTGTATATTTGACTCGATCAGTCGGAAATCATTCATCCTAAAGCTTGATCTGTTTCCTTTAGGAGACAGATATGTGATAACCTCATACTCCAAGAACATCTATGCATTTGCCAAGATAGCCCATAGTAAAGCCCACCACCTGGAGTATTTCATCGAGTAGGTATTCAGTATATGGAAACAGCTGTGTCTTCGATTTGGCAGTTTATCCATCAGTCAAAAAACTTCTGATCAACCCCCGCAATAATTTCTCTCTCAGGTTGATTGACCAATCCAACGCGAAACCTGTGATCTTTCGCGATTCGCGCCTCCGCCCACTCTGTTATTTGTCAGTGAGCAACGAATTCCCAAACTCCGTTAGTTTAGACTGTGAAATTTACTTACCCTGAGCTGTTACGGGGTGAGAAAACTGAGTCCCAGCGGCCTGCAGCCCCAATCGTTGTAGCAATGGGCTTGATACAGGCGCGAGATTGATATCAGCTTCAGGCCGAGCGAAATAGATCAAGCTTAGTCGGGGCTTCGTTGCTTGTTCTTCCGGTGGTCGGATGACTCGATGGATAGTACTCTTCAGATACCCACCGCTCATGAATTCCAGCGCATCGGCGATGTTTACAATGATGGCATCTCGAGGCGATTTGACGTATTGCCACTTGCCTTCAGGATTCTGCACCTGTAGACCAGCAATAGGTTGGTGAAAAAGGAAGGTCAAGGTATTGTAGTCAGTATGCCCACGGGCCCAGATGTTGTTGACCTTTGCATCTTCTTCCTTGGTGCGGGGGTGATATTTCATATATCTCAGGTACTCGAGGCCTTTTTCTTCATATCGGTGTCGATTGACAAAGTACTCTTCATCTTCCAACTCAAGAACATAAGCGAAAAGCCGAAGGAGTGGGAGTAGAACATTGTGGTGAACCCTCAGCGAGAAGTCACGGATCTCGGCAAGATGGGTTTTGATCAATTGTGGGTGATCCCGCTCATGCTCCGGCGTAAACTTGGGTATGTTGTATCTCTCATCATTGTCGCGGCCAGCTAGATCACCGGTCGACTGCTTTTTATACCCTCGGAAATCTCCCTTTGCGGTGTTGCACTCGAACCGCAGCTTTTCGTCCAGCGGCAGGTCAAAGAAGGCTTGGGCCAAGGCGTACTGCCGCCGAACCTCGTCATCAGAGAAACCATGTCCAGTGACATAGAAGAACCCTAGAATTCGTCAGAGACTAGGCCGAAAGGCGAGCTATGAGCGAGGCCAGCCCCTACCGTTCTTGCTGATGAAGCCCAGAACTTGTTCAGCCAATTGTTGCTTTCCGCCGGGCTGGTTAAGCTTGCTCAAATCGAGAGCCTCAAGCTCGGCAAAATTGACTAAGTGTTGATTGTCAGAATGCCATTGCAAAGCAGTAACAGGGCAAGTTTCTACAAACGATTTTCGCTTGGGCCATCAGGATACTCATATTCCAAGTTCGTGACGGCGCTTGACTGGACTGCCATGACTGTAATCAACCAAAGAGAACGCACTCTACTTGCTTGTTGCTGCAATCAGGTGCTGGGTAAAGTTAGATGAGCGGTAACTTTCAACAGCTTATGCTGAGAGTGGCATTGCTGTTAAATCGCTATGCAGATCGCCGGTTTAGGATCGCATGATGGCGCAATATGGTAGTAGAGTGTCGTCACTCCAACCCCTCAGATATCACAAAACGCACCACCGGTACCGGCTTCACCAAGGACTTCACTACAAAACGCTAATAATATATTAATATGCCCGATACTCCATTTGCTGCGGTTGCGTAGAATACCATAATCCGTTATGTGGACAAGTAGCCTATCTTCTCAAATCCAAAGACGCACGTGCTGGACGGCCTATAAACTTAGAGGCTAGATGCTAACAACTTGTGTGTATAGTCATTACAAAGCATGGCGTTATCTGCAAACTGAAATGTACCACCGATATCCCTCCGATGTTAAGAAGTTGTCCACCACATGGGGTAAATGCATTTGGATGGGGAAACGCTGCTGGGTATGTAACGGGAATAAACATGCTGACTTGGTTGGCTCATTTCAGTTAATACAGGACGCATACTAACAATCTAGAGGAGATGACGCAGTCTGCTTGAGATCGTCAGAGTCCACTTAGAACAGATCTAATTAGGATTTCACCGAAGGAAATAACTTGTCCGTTCCCTCGGTAAGAACTTTTATTAGTAAACCAGCTAACCTAGGAAGATGTCGTTTTCTGGGTCTCCTAAATACCCCTCGATCATGTACCTCATGCAGTCCAATTACACGAGAAGTCATCACATTCTATGCATCTTGATACCCCGGCCTTGTTAATGCTGCTCACTTCAAAAGGCTCAAAATGGGACGCAGATTCTGAACTCATATAACTAGTTGGGCTTTTGCAGTATTCCATCGAGTCATCGTATTTCAGCGTCTAAGATATCAAGAAAGTATCGCGTTCTGATGTTACCCTGTCGAAACCACTTACCCATTCTAGGATCCCAGTGATTTGAGAGAGAGATCCTTGCCCGGCTAACCAGTTTTGGTCCCTGGCAGATGGCATCATCGCAACCCGGACTTTGCAATCCTCACTCCTGTCAAGAAGAATGGAGTTCTTAGGGCTTAGGGAACCATATAATAATATCAGAAAGGGTTCTAGATAAAATTGAAGGGGACTTCCCTTCATTTTTTCAATACTTCCCTTCCGACTATTCATCCATCTTGCTCTCGCCACCATGGGATCAGTACAGAAAGTTACCGCGGAGGCAATCGCCCGACCAGTCTCCACCTCTGACCTTGAAGAGGAGTATGAAAAAAAGTCCCTGAAGAGGCGCATCCGTGAGATTGTGTGGGACAGTCTTGACCGGAGCCCGGAGGAGCGTCGAATGATCGCCAAACTTGACTTCTTCATTCTGACTTGGGCAAGTCTGGCGTACTTCAGCAAAAATTTGAACTCCAATAACCTTTGTGCGTTGTCCACCATTTAACTTTCCGTCCGAGCTTGTACTGACTTGATTTAGCCAATGCCTATGTCTCAGGCATGAAAGAAGAGCTACCTGTCATTGGGAACGAATATCAAACATTGACAACTATGTGGACAATGTAAGAATCTACGTGCACCCACCTTGAACGATGTTGAACCGTGGGGCTGATAGGCGGTACTAGTGGATATGTTGTCTCGCAAATTCCATCTCAACTCGTGTGCACTCGAGGTACTTGAAATGTTTTGATACTTAAGAGACCTCCCTACTGATATCACTATTTACCACAGTGCGGCTCTCTATTTGGTGCCCAACTTGGGAACTAATTTGGGTTCTTGTTACCTTCGCGACGGCTGCAGTCAAAACCTCGCATCAGCTTTATGCTTGTCGGTTTTTTGTAGGTACCTATCAACCACATGGTGTTCAGGGCTTCCGCTGATCTCCGGCTGTTTGAAGGTTGGCTTAGCAGAAGGCACATTCTATCCTGCGGTGCACACAGTCCTTGGAGCTTGGTATACAAAGCAAGGTTAGAAGCTCTGCTCCCTCTCTCAGAAACTACAATAACTAACAATACACAGAGCTCGCGAAACGGTCATGCATTTTCTTCGCGACGGCGTTTATTGGGTCAATGTTTAGCGGTTATTTGGTTCGTTCAGGAATGAGTTTCGATTTTGAAGACCGCTCGTCTGACACTTCACAGCAAGCAGCACTGCACACTGGCATGAACGGCGTTCACGGATTATCCGGGTGGCGCTGGCTTTTTATTTTTGATGGAGTCATTACCTTACCAATGGCACTTTGGGGTACGACTTCGAGACATAAGTCTGGATGATAAGCTTGTCTAACTTGACCTGATCTTAGCCTACTACGCATTGCCCGACTTGCCTTCCACCACCAGAGTCAAGTGGCTCAAGCCCGAAGAGAAGGAATATTTCCTCCAGCGTATGAAAAAGGCAGGGCGGGATCTTGAAGAACCCGTTACGATTGCTGGCTTGAAAAGGGTGGTGGGCAAATGGCACTTCTGGGTCTATACAACATACTACACGTAAGTTGCCAAACTCTATCCTACATTTTACATATTGGCTAAAGCCCTCAACAGATTTTTCATCTGCAGCGAAAACATTGGCAGTTTTATGAACCTGTGGCTTAAGAGTCTGAACAGGTAGGTCTTCGTCTCCCAGGAAAAGCTTTGGTTTTGCTCACCATCAATTAGATACACCGTGCCCCAAATTAACACCTATCCAACCGTAACAAATGCAGTGACCATCATCACGACACTTGCCTATGGTTGGACTAGCGATGCATTGCAGATTAGGGCCCCTATCATCTACTTCTCACTTGTTGTGTGCTTTTTCGCCGCGATGAACCTTGCCATTTGGGATGGCGTCCCATTCGGCCTCAAATGGGCCTCTTTCTATCTCACAGGGTGTGCTCTCGCCCTTGCATCTATCGTTGGTGACTCGTTGTTGACAGCTATTTCTAGATTTGCCCAGGGCTCCGGTCCTATATTCTTTGTATGAATCATTCTCACAACAGCATACGGGTCATAACTAACATGATCTCTTCAGACAATGGTGAATGAGCAATGCGCAGGCGATAGTCTAGAACGAAAGTTCATTCTAGGAACGACAAATTCAATCGCGTGAGTGATTCCAACCCACGTTATAGACAGACGTATTGACAAAGGATAATATAGCTATGCCTTCAATGCCTGGATCCCCCTTATTACCTATAATACCAACTACGCACCTCGGTTTTTAGTCGGTAATGCGACCACCGTCGCTCTAATTGTTGGGGCCGCCATCACAATTACGGTTGCTGTTCGGCTACAAAACCGTGATGCCGGTAAGATTTTGATTTCTTTGCACAAAACTTGACACTGCAGTGCATATCGTGCTCACAATTGTTAAGACAGCAAGAGGAAGTCACCATTGAATGTGGAACCTTGACTCGGCAGCATATAGTACTTCAATGGGTGTTGTGTTCTACCTCTTCACAGGAGGTAGCTAAGAAAATCCTTGAGAACTCAGAAGCCGGGATGATCAGCATAAACATTAACTTGATCCCCTAATCTATGGTCATTACCGTCTCAAATTCCGAAACTAACAGTCCTCAAAGTGGAACTCTCCATGTGCAGAGTTTCCATTTAGAATAATGGCTTCTTTTATACTCTCCCCAAACACATAGAATAACCAAGTGATATCAGTTAGTTTCAAAGTAATCTCCTATCCATTGCCCTGAGAGCAAAAGGACCATCAAAAGATTGCCTCGCTGTAAATCCAGGTAGTCTAACCGCTGAGTTCCTCTTGCAAATCCAGGTATCTACCTGATCACCCAACGTACATAAGAAGCAGAACTATGCTAATTCCTTGGGTGTGAGCAAAATTCAACGTCGGTATTCTTATATCAAACCGTTACTTGCATTTCCCTTCCTCTCCATTTCCATGCTGCGGTCCACGAGCAAGTTAATGTGTTCTCTTCTGCCACGTGCAGTGAGGATTCTTTGTAGCAGTTTCAAGTGTTGGAGGAAACTTTATTTCGGTCACTCTACGAATGACGAAAGTTTATCGTGTGACTCTTGGTTGCAACCATTGCGCATCCCCCTCCATCCGCCTCGCTAGTTAGGTCATATTCAGATGTACTAGTACGGTTGATGCCACATTATAAGCCAGATTTTATACCAAACTATCTGTTCCAAGCGTTACTCTACTAGCTTCATCAGAGACTAAGCCGCATTCTCCGTCGCCTAATGCGATGGCTTCCTAAGCTTTCATATCTGATTTGACCCTCCTTCAATCGGGGTTTTTATCATGAGCTCATTATTATTATGCCCACATTGTGTTTTCGCCAAGTCCCCGCACCTGGAATCTCAGAACCCTCCCGCCCAGCTAATGCGGCCGAAAGCAGATCTCAATGCGGCGCCCTACGACATCGTGCAGATGCTAATGGACGCTTCTATCAAAGGATAAAGCTCGCCGTAACGCTGCCCTAGCCCCGCTCCTCCCGCTTCTCTTCGAAAGATAAGAGGATGGTTTACTATGGCTGGGGTGCTGGATATCTACGTCTCCATCGCCATTCCCCTGACAGCGGCAACCTTCGCGCTCATTTTTCGATTTGTGGCACGGCGGATTTCAAAGTGTCATCTGTGGTTTGATGACTACTTCGCTTTGCTTTCATATGTATGTCTTCCCTCTTGTCTCGATACCGCCACAATCTGTGGTCCTGACATATATGCTGACGCCCTTCTCTCAAGATCTTCGGCTGGGGATATCTCGTAACAGTCCTCATTCGTATGCGATGGGCCTTCCCTTCAGATAAAAGTGCATGCAGGTGCGGTGGCTAACAACTCCATCCACAGTATTGACACATTTCAGGCTCGGCCAGGCTCCTAAGCCGATGGACCCCGATCAAGTTGAGGAGGTACTCGTGAAGGTACGAAAGCTGCTGTGGGTGAATGAGCTCATGTACGCGTCCACAATCGCGTTTTCTAAGCTCTCCTTCATCTCCTTGTACTGGCGCATCTTCAAACTCACTATGATTCGCATTCCGATCTGCCTCTTACTTGTTGCCTGTTCCGCATGGTTCATTATCCGAACCTTCGCTATCCTGTTTCAGTGCTGGCCGGTACCATACATCTGGGACAAGACTATCAAAGGCGGCACATGCAAACTCAACATAAGCCAGTTCCTGTTTGGGACAGTCCTCACTCATTGTCTTATGGACATCACCATTCTCGTTCTGCCGGTTTTCCCCGTGGTGAAGATGCATCTCTCATGGCAGCAAAAGGTGGGAATCATCGGACTATTTGCCTCTGGCATAATGTAAGCACGGCTTCCCCCATGTCCGTCTTAAGAAGCAATGACTGACCAAACGCGTTGCAGAGTTGTGTCCTGCTCTGTTCTTGTCTTGATACAGGTTATCATGTACAAGCCTCTTGACGCCAATTATACTCTCAGCCTTGTAAAATTTACAGTATGGGGCAATGCGGAGGTAAACTTAGCTATTTTCTGCTGTAAGCTCTTCATTCAATTCATTTTCTATTCAGCAGTGAATACTCATTCTCGTCACAGGCTGTTTACCCATACTACGACCAGTATTTCGCAGAATTGTTCCCAGAAAGAGACGGCGCCCAGGGCCTGAACTGGGACCACCTGAACGAGGTGCGAGAGCTTCTCGAATGAGACTGCCGATAGGCTTAAGAGTAGATAGGCCAATGCCAGCTCGTATAAAAGAAAGCCTAGGTTGGGGGAGAAGCGCAAGCAGCTAGTCTTCAATGCCAGTTGCTGTCTCTATTTTTGTTTATGAGCTTTTGAACCTTCTTTGCCTAAGTATCAGCCTTTTTCTAACATAATAGGGTTCAAAAACTATATACAAGACTCTTCCATATCAAGATAGCTATATTATAGATGGCCTTAAAATAATTCCTGATAAATATTTAAATTGACTCATTTTTTTTTTCTTTGCTTAACTTAAATATTATTAAATTTAGCATATATCCTTGATCAAGAGTCCTTTAAATCACCTCATCATATTTCTATATCCATTTGCGCCAGTCTAACCTTCTAATCTTTATCTTCAAGGGCTCTGAAACAATGTTTTCGGTGAATTGCCCTTCTATATCATTTTGATTCGTCTCGCCAGTGAACGTGTGTTGTGAGTTCTTGTTGAGATGCAATCGACTCTGCATCAAGGGCCCTGTGCCGCTCCGATTTTGGCACCCGGAAGCCAAGGTGCTTCAGATAGTCTCCAGGGAACCAGATATTATATAGTACACAGACTATGAAGATAGGTAGAACATCAAATGTGTAGAGACTGAATCGGTAAGTAATTAGCCTTCTGACAAATCTTAGTAACCGGGAATAACATACTACCACTCTTTCTTTTCGATGATCTCTTGGGTGCCTGGAGCAAATTCAACCATCCGGAACACAGACCGAATCTAGTGTCGAGATGGTTAGTTCTGAGGCCTTGAAAGGCAGATATGGGGCTTTAGCTCACCAGAATAAGCGCGCACGAGGCATTCACTACGTAGAGAAGGCTCCCGTAATGCTTGCTGATTTTCCACCTCGTCTGGTTTTGGCTCACATGGTCTCCATTGAACTGTCTCGAGGTAAAATGAAATCTGACAGCAGCGACAGTAAAGATTCCAAATCCGAAAAGTTGAACGCCTACTCCAGCAAGGCCGAGATTTCTACCCATTTCGATTTTTCCCTCCGCATTTTCGTCTGTGGCTTGAGTCGTAGAAAGCATCGCGGCAGCACCCATCTGCAGAAGAAGAGACAGGACATCGAAACCGACAAAGATGAGTGTGATAAATCGTGCTGCATGGTTGTTAATAGGCCAGTCGGTTTCCATCTTTGGGAACAAGCAAGAAGCCCTCAGACTTACGAGGCACCCAAATAACGCTAAATGTCAAGTGTTCGGGGGGTGTTGCCCAGAAGACAATTCTGGAGAATACAACATAGACCACCGCTGCCATAAGGACCGGTGCCAGGATAATGAGAGCAAATTGAACGGAGTATGGTTGTAAGTCTCCAGGACTGCGGGCGGATACAATCCTTGCTGCAAAGCCAACGATCTCCACTGCCCTAGGGGTCAGCACATTTCATAGTTCAACGAGAGACGAATGCTGCTGTATACTTACTTAAAATACTCAAGAGCATGACAAGCCATACCCACGCCCTTTTTTGAATGATTTGAAAGAGAGTCAATAAAAAACTAGCGGCAAAAAGACCGGCAGTGACACCTGCGAGAGGCTGTGAAGGAACATATGGGAAACGTGAAACTGGGTCAGCCATGATGAAAACGATATAATTAGAACGAGTGACAAAGAATATCTAAAAAAGAAAGGAAAAAAATGTTCTCTTGGGTTTGAACGTGAATACAGATAATTGAAAGCAAAGTTTGACTTCTTTATAAAGTTCATCTTCGCCATGTTGATCTGTGCTCTCACAACGGCCAACAGGGATCGCGACAATCTTCCTCGTCTGGGGCGCGGGCAAGAATTAGCGGCGGGAAGGACTCAGATTTCGGGGTCTTAGACAGGGATCGCGCCAATGCAAGCACTGAGCATTGAGCATTCAGTTTTCACTCTCCACCGTACTCTGGACCAGTTGAACAGGGGTCGCGCCAATTTCCCCATCCGTCCCAACGATGTCGTGTCCCAAGATAGAATCATTTGTGAAAGGGATTGGAATGCCCTTTCGCCAGGCAGATACGCCACCCGGCGATCCGTATCGTCCCACAGTAGGTACCTATGAGTAAAGACCAGATGAAGGGTTAAAATACGACTTGTTCGGAGCCTCTCAATTGGGGCAGTGCAACTCGTCTTATCTTTTTTCTCGCTTCTAGGGGACCCAGAGGACGATTCTAAGACTGCGAGGGCCGCCTCCTTAATCGAAATTGCGCAACAGTCGTTTACACTGGCCAGGATATTAATATGCCCTCAAAAACGTTTGGTTGATACTTCAATGTTGCTTACATGTATTTAACGAACAGCTAACCCCTCAACAGCTACCTACCCTATAGTCCACATTATCTCGGTGTATTTTTCCCCGGAGAAGGCGATCCGCGACGGTAGCCACAGTTTGAATTGGGTTCACTGATTTAACACTCGCTTGTAGATATTGGCGGAAAATTAAGACGTATGGATGAAAGCCTACTTATTATATAAATGTTCTGGACCCGACGCAGTTATGATAATAAGCATCAAGACATACGTCTTTCGAGGTGGAAGAGCAGGTAGTCTGGTGTCACGTGGGGCGGTTGAATGGAATATTAGCTAATCCGCAACATAATGTGTGGACAGACGCGTCAGACGGGTTAAAAGCGGATCCGGCACCGGACGCGTATCTTTCGCGTCTGGAAGTTTTTCTCCCCTTGATTGCTAATCACGTGGTGAGAACACTCATGATTCACGTGACCGTGCAACGGTCTGAGTATATGAATTCATGTCTTGTAGATAGCAAGACGATTTTAGGTTGCTCATTTTCGTAGAAGATAGATAGTTTAGGTTCGTAGCAATCGCTCATCATTACACAAGTCATCTGGTCGGGGCTATAGCAATTTGATCGTTTGTCTCAACAAGAGACAGCTAGGCTGGGCCTCTATGTTATTGGATACATGTACAAAGCAGCCACTTGTGGGAGATTATCGGTACTTCTATTGTCGTGGGCTCCTCTGCTAAATCTTATGTACTCGCGAGATGTAATACAGTAGCACCTAATTGGCTGAATACCCCTGTGTCGCTGCCTCCACCGGATAAGCGACAAAGTCGTATTCCGCGTTCAAGCCATCGCATTCCGCCCTCGTAATTGAGCCTTGCATCATGGAACGAGAAGGAGGCAAATGATCGCTGCGACATTATCGTGTGGTTCGCGCGGACGAAAAGCCTACCAAGGCTCAGCTACCCCTTGTAGTTCCGAGTGTCTCAGCTTTGCTGCGCGTCTCCTGCGGCTGAAATTATGCTACGTCATAAACCAATCCGCCATGTCAGCAAATGTCTATGTGTACCTGGGATAGCCCAAGAGGCGGTCATTCGTACCCTCCAATACGAGCAATAGCGCATCCTCAGCTCTGAGGGGCTTGCATCAATAGCCTCAGGAGCCTTGCAAAAGTCCCAAAGCCACGGCGCCAACTGCTATCTGTCCATCACAATTGTGTGTGAATTGCTACCTAGCTGGTTGTGTATTGGGTTGCAATTGTGATCTGCGCCCGTCGATTACCGCTGTCTCGCTTGGAGGGTCTTACGGTCCGATGACCTGAAGCCGCGTCAAGCCGCATAATCTGAAGAACGAGGCGAATTTGCTGTAGGTATTCGATGCCGTCAGTATTTATACCATCTTCAATGTCCTGTTTTGATAATTGAAAAGACCTCAACATGGACTGCATTCATCAACTACCAACGAAGCGTCACACCAAGACTTGCCAATGTTACCATCACTTCAACTGTTACTTCCCCGTTGATCTCATTTCCTTGTCGCTTCATGTCGAAATTCTGGCTTTCCATGGGTCCCTGATTCAATGTATACTATTTTGTATTATTATTATTTTTTCTCTCAATATTATCTTTTTTTCTCATCAATTACAAGCTGTGTACAAATTCCCGTGCACCGCGAAGAGAATCGATTTCCAAAATCAGTGGAGAAGGGAAATCAGGTAGTATGTGCCGAATGACTTAGTTGAACCTGGAATCCACTGCAGCGCTCTATTTACAATAAACCAGCGAACATGGCCAATCTTTGGGGTTTCTAATACTAGATTACGGCTGTGAGATTTCACGATGAGAGAAGTCTGACTGAGAAGCATACATTCGAGTTCATTTACGCTATGTGAGAAAGGGCCCCTAGAACAGCAGCATCATATTAATGGACGACCTTGAGAACATTCAGGTGTCGAGCAGATCAGATCCCAGTCAAGCTGTTAGGAGAAGTAAGGGCTCTCAGGTCGATCGACGCCTGGGAAAATGTGGTCCCAGATGGCAAACCACATTTGAGTCGGAGTCTGTCTCAACGAAACCAGATCCTGGAAGAACGTGTGGAAGTCGTCAGCGAAAATACGAGGAGGTGTCGCTCGAGGTTGGCAAATGGAGCTCCTGCAATGACTGGTCCAAGTCGCTGTGTCTGCGAATTCTTCGTAGCAAATCGCGCAGTAATAATCACCAAATGCATGGCGGCGAGTAATGTGTCCTTCTAACTGGAACATTTTCTTGAATTTCCGGTTGCGGCATGAGCTGTGTTGCTCCCGGTCATGTTTGAAGAAGGGACAAGCGTAAACTAGCTTCTTTGCATCCGAATGATGGCGTTTTATCGCGCCGCCATCCCCATCCTCGTCCCTGTTCTGGTTTATTGCCAGTTTACGCTTTCCCAACTGAGTTTGGCTCACATGTGCGTCATTCGGACGGGCGTTATCGACGGCTAGAGACTCTATTATCAACGAAGAGTCATCGATTTCCTGACCATGGCCAGGATCCCATCCGGAGCATTTCTTTCTGTCTTGCCGCCCAAGATCATCAAGTGGACCATCTACACCCGCTGCATATTCTGTGTCGATCGTGTGGATGGGATACGAGGCGTGGGACTTGTTGTTGACGAAGGCAGCGAGTTCGGTAATAAGGTCGAGCCTGATGGTACAGAGGAGACAAGGACTGGATTGACCTGGATACAATAAATGGTATTTTAGCAAAACTCTCAGCCTAGTCTTCTGCTAAAGGAGCGGTAGAAGCAACGCGGCGTTGTGTATTCGAGTTTACTCACCGTTAGGCTTGAACCGGCACTCGACACAGGAATAGTGTTCTTTGGCAACGAACAAGACGTATCCAGGGCATATATCGAGGAGGCAGATCCATGGTCCTTCAATTTCGTGTTGGGAGCAAAAGTCCGTGAATCTGACGTCATGAGCGGCGCAAAGAGAGCGCTGCTTGTCGGGTTGGTCTCGACCCGTGGTTTCCTCCAAGTGATCCATGCTGTCCATCGTCAAAAACGCCGCTGTGTTTGTTGCCGGAAGGATTGAATATCTTTCGTGAAGATGAGTGAAAAGAAAAGTTAATTAAAACAGCTAGATACTATCCTTATTAACTAGAATACAAAACTGGACTGGCGAATTTCACCGCATAAAAGGAGGGAGTCATGTGAGGATATTTGCACCGCTCTTTTCTGCTTTTCTTGCCTATCTTTCGGTTTTTGTAATGGTACAAGAGGAGAGCCAAGGCGCAGTTCTTTCTTGTAGGCTCAAAGCCACGCCAGAAAAGTACACTCCCCTGCCCAACAATTGTGAGAGGGAATGTGAGTGTTATATCAGCCTTGGGCCGCTATTCGCCTGCTTTCCTCATATTAGAGACCCACTCGGAGCCATCTGACACATTTGCCTTGCTCCAACATACACACCCCCTTTTTACGAGCCGGACTTTTTTGTTTGTTTTGACATTGTGCACCCCTGAGAAAGAGGATCTTCGGAGAAGTCCAGACCGAGACGACCGGTGAGCAAGTTGTAAAAGCATAGCACGCTGCAAAGCCACATGTACAGACGAGGAACCTAGGACGGCTGCCGATTACCTCACAGCTAGAAGGCTAAGGATGCTAGGCAATGGCCTTGGCACCAACACATGGCTGTTGGAGGTGTGTGTGGAGTGAATGTTGAAGAAGTGAGTGCGCACGTTTTATTATTAAAAGAGAGTGTGGCAAACCGTTTGCTCAGTTCCAGGTTCCCGAGGGTACACCTAATGGTGACGTCAAGGTAGACAGGCACGAGGGAGGGTGTTTCATTATTTTTGAGAGTGAATGGACTTAGACATTGTATGATTATACCAACATTATTGCCTTGCAGATTTTGAATCTTCCGTATGTGACATGCATGCAAAACTCCACTGATGCAAGATAGACAACCGGGTATCTGCTTTGGATGCAATCAAGGGTGCCCAGATTAATTGCAGTGTATTAGAGACCTTGGCAAAACCAATCACCCATACGGGTGGAAAATTGCTCCCACTTCGGGAAAAAAAAAAGACGCTTTTGCCTGCAACGGGGGCTCGATCTGCACCAACATACACTGTAGCACTTGTACATTGCAGGGGAGGGGTGCCCGGTAAATGAGTTGGCATTGATTATTGAATAGCAATGACCTCAGTCAGTTGATTTTGATCATGGACAGACACAGTGATGGGGACTGAGCCCGCACCAGGGCTCCCATATTCACGGTCATGCCAACAGCGTCCACGAAGCGCCGACTCAGGCAGGCTTTTCCAGCATCAAGGCTGTGCTAAGAGACCATATGGTGAATCTGAGTGGTACAAGGCGTAATTGGGCTGCTCGTCTTGGCCATTGGTTTAGAAAATGGCCACACTGTGAGGTGGCCTACGATGACAACGGACAGCTGGCACTGGCTCCAGGCGTGACCCGACAAGGCAAACTTTCTCTCCGCCTCCCTTGACCGAGATGTACCAATTGAGCTTTCTCTTGGAGACAAGAGGGCTTAGGGTTGTGTGATTAGCACATTCTAGAGGTGTTTATTCCTTGGCCTCCTGGTAGACGGACTTAGTTTGAAAAATAGCCCAACACGGCTGCTATTGCCTCTATCTTTCTTCTTTGAGGGATAAGGGATGAGATATCTAGAAACTTTTTCCCAAATTGTTTCTCAATGCCATTCCATCATGCCGCAAACGCAGACATAAGGATTGTCTATGGTCTGGAGTGGCATCTACGATTGTTTGTTTAATGCAATTGCACGGATAAATTGTCAACTGGGTCTGCTAGGACGGGAGAAAATGAGAGAAGACACTCGTAGGACGTCCCCCTGTCGGTGGCGCCGAATTTCAGCTGTGACGAGGCGCTCGCCACGTACGTTCCATCCAAGCCGATGCCCAACCAGCCATCCTTGGACGCACCACCTTCAACAGCACGAGCAGGGATACCGTAAACTAAGGCTATTGAGGTAACCAGCCACTGATGCCCCAAATCTTTTGATGCCGACGGAATGGCATGGTAGTACTACATTTGGCTGGGACGGGGTCGCTGTGAGTGTGATCAGACCGCATGCTCGATCGCCTGGAACAACAGCCAGTCATTGACGGACCTTTCACCGAGTTCTCTCAGCAGACAATCTTAATGTACACTCCCCAAGGGAGTGTGACGAGGATTTATCCCGCAGTAGTTGCAGTTGCCCCACCCCAATGTTCCCCTCAACACTTCCCTGATAACCGCCACATCTCAGGTGAGGCGGGGTAACAACTTCACTGGGCTCCCTGCTCGACCTGAGGTAATTATCGAAGCTAGCTTTCCCTTTCTTAGAACGTATTTCTGAACAGGCACAGGCCACACCCATTGTCTTGCCTCGAAGGCAGGTGTTTGAGAACACACTTGTGCTGGGCCAGGGGCCATCTCGGGCGTGTTGGGCCGACTACCACACACTCAGATCGCAATCCCTCTTCTCCAATCATCCGCACTCTAGCCCTGAGTTTGAGTAGGAGCAGCTGCCGGGCATGGACACCCGTCATCACCCAAAGACTTAGGATGGGGGGTGTCAATACGGCATCCTTCTATGTACTGCGCAGAGCCTTGTCCAAACTGTCTGCCGTCACCAGACAGTGCCGCGCCCGACTGTCTAGCAAGGCTTTGCCCCCACAGACTGATTGGTTTTAGTCTATCTTACTCTATCCATTCTCCCCTGAGTAGTAATATCTGAGTCATTCATCGAATTGGTAGCCGCTCCCACCAACAGAGGCGTTACGTGACAATCCCGGTATTATAGTGGACTAAGCGAGGTAAATGCATCTCTACTGGGGCTCAGACTGTCTTGGGAGTGTTAAACCCACGACTAGGTGTGTGCACGCATGGCTAGCACTATGATCGCCTTGCCTTGCCTTGCGACTGTCTTGGGCTGGGTACACGCAAGCCACTTTTGCCAGGCTGGCCTTTGGCGCAAGACTTCCAAGGAGAATGTAGGACCATGTCTGACACGCATAGCCGTAAGCCCATTTGCGCCCAGCCTTTCAAAAGAGCGGTATGCTCATCCCTTTGTTTTCCCCTTTACGAGAAACTTGAGCCGGAGTGCACCTCGGAGCTTGTTTCTCCCAGCAGCCAGACGAAGAATTGCTAAGGAAGACCAAGCTTTTCGAACTTCACGATGCCGAAAGAACCTAAGTCCATGCCCAAGACCACAAGTCTCGTACATCTCTGACCGCGAACGCTTCTGCGACGTCCAAATCGCATTTCGAAGACATTGCCAGAAGTATTGGATCCGAAAACGCTGGCGAAGAACGAGAATGTTGTCTCCGCTACTCTCGTGTCACCTTTGAAGCCTTAAATCACCATGGCCAATAAGAATAAACTCAGCCTGACGTGGCAAGTTCCTTCCTGTTGGGTTCTGGCCAACCGGGTTGGTAGACAAGCACTAATGAAAACCTTCCTTTTTCTAGAGTAGCTCGGCATGGAGTTTTATTCTAAAACTCTGTCGTCTTTCCTCCCGTGCCCCATGCCTTACGTTTCGACTTTTCGACACCAAATTGCCATACTGTCGATTCTTTTTTTCACACATCGACAGACTCTGCCCATGACCACCACGAATGCTTCGAATATTACCGTGACGATACAAATCTTTCACCTGCACGTTAGAAAACCTCGGGATAATATTTTCATGATGTTCATGATCAAGAAATTCGAGAATATACAACCCTAGCTTGCCACTGGACAGGCGTGGGATGAGGCTGGGGTGGACTCGCTGCTAAGTTAGCGACGCACTATCTTGCACCAACTACGAGTAACTGCCACGATCTGTCTCGAGCCGTCTTCCGATTCGTCTACTCGCCGGGTCTGATTCGTGAACCAACGGGTGGGGATCTGCCAACAGATATGGCCGTGATCCTATTGGTTGCGGGACGGATACCTCATCGCTTGCTTGTCCACTAGATCTATGCATGATTAGCACCAACATCATGCGTCGACAGGGCACCTGCTCAAGGCGTCAGTCGATCTTGAGTAATTAGTGCGGCTGCTTGCCGTCTCAACTCGTTACCATGCGCTCTCCTCCAACTTCATACTCTGGTTTAACGCCTGTCTTCCCAGGAAAGCACTTGGATGAATCAATTCCCTTGATATTACCGTCTGGCCTACTCTAGAGCCTGCCGGGAAAGCGAACTTGAGTTGAAGCGTCACTCTACCTCTGTGCCAGCCACTGTCCAGTAAGATAATCTCTTTGAGTCACAACATCTCGAGGCTTGACTTTCAAAGTCGGAGGCCCTTTGAGTGGAGCTCCACGGATAAGCTGCCTATGGAAATCACAAGCATTCCTCGTACTACTCGTATGATTAGGGTGGGTTCACGAAGGCTCCGAACGGGACGGACCACCCCACGTTAAGGTCGCGGCAATGCCTGATCTCTGATGTAGCATGTAGGGGAGGACGGTGACTTGCATCTAGCTAGCTTTCAGCTCCCTTCGCTTCGGTATATCAAGGCTACCGTCCCAGACCATCGGTAATCCACCGTTTCTCCCTTACCACGTACGACGGTACTTGTCTCTGCTGTTGCGTGCCTATGCCTATGCGATGCCCTTTCGTGTTGAGAGAAGGGCAGCTCTTACTTTCAAAATAGAACAATAAAGATCTTTCCCTTGCCATTAAGTGCATGCATGGTTTTAAAACGAGCATTGCGTCTGTGGGCCGCAGGAGTTTTGGAACTTCTGGTGGGATTCCAGGCGCCCATCGTATTCATCGCATTCTGGATTGATGAGGCTAACTCGACTATTTATAGTATTGGATCAAAGCTCTTTCGAATTTTCTAGAGTGGGGATATTCAAAGTACTTGATTCCTCCTTCAATTCCATCCTCTCGCCCCATGCACCCTCCTAAATCTTGTTCCTCAAGTACCCCCCTCGACTTCCCCCCTACATTCCCGGCTCCTCCTTGATTTCTGCTTCTGCTCTCCCCATAAGCCTCACCCACTGCACGGTAACTCCATGAAGAAACCTTTCAGCCATCATCTACTCCTTGGTCGCATGGTACGCAGCCAAATACTTCTCATAAGCAGCCTCCAACTCTTCCTGGGTAGTTGCAGTATCGGTGTCAGGTTCAGCATACAAAGGATCAGTCTGCAACTCATCAGGTGAAATGTCGGGAGATATCTCAACGGCACCGTCTACTCGGGGCAAAAGATCATGATCCAGGTCTCGCTTCTTGGAGCCTCCGTCTCCGTACGCGCGGACGAAGGCGTAGTAGACCCATGCGAGGGCTTTGCACTTGTACTTTGACTTTTTATGCACATCGCACTGGTGCATGAGGCTGCAATTTGCCTGTTAGTGACAATGAAATTTTTTTATTATTATCAGCCGGTACTGCGGGTGGTGTACGTACTCTTTTCTGAAGTTGACGTCAATCTTCTTCCTGTTGCCGTTCTTCCTGAGACGCTTCTGCTTCCTATAGTTGTTGTATCCAAAATCATGGCGCTGGCACGCAACCTATGGAAGCCAGAACTAGTCAGTACATTTCATAGAATAATTGGGCAAGAGATGCAGGAAGGATGTATGGAAGAATGCAGTACCGCGAAGGGAAACTTGAGAGGATTATCTGGAGACTTGGTGCAGTTGTCGGACTCCCAGATCAGATTCTTCGGGTTCTTGTTCTTGCGGCGCTTGGCAAACGCTTCAAGGTTGATGTTGAACACGATGTTGGTTGTCATTTTCTCATTCTCGGTTTCGCGAGTGACGAGCCCATTGCTTGTCGTGGCTCCGTTCTTCCCGTCAAGGTCGACCGGAGAAGCCACGACAAGTTGCAAAAGAGAGACAAGGACAGTTGGAAACTTCATTTTTGCTGTACCGGCTTCTTGTTGCAATAGTTGAGTTTGAGGCTGGTTTAATAAATAGGATAATGTTGGCGGTGTTCCGAAAGATGTGAATCGACAGCTGCGAACGCTCGCTTTATAGTTCTCAGAGTCACGATGAGTAGGCTTTCTTATTACCAGAGCGAGCTTTACGAGCTTGGCTGTGGCAACTTGTGTCAGCTCACACACACATGTAGACATTGGTCCGTGACTGGTAAAAAGGTTCCAAGCCAGGGTCGAAACCGAGACTTTTGCCAAGTCTATGCAACTATTTAGGATTTCATGTCCGCGGATCCAAGGGAAATTGTTCAGCTACATGTATGCGAATATTGGCTTTGTTTAGGCGACCTATCAAACCTGCCGTTGAAGTCCACATCGAGGCAGACACGGTGGCCAACAATGTATGCCTTGCCAACCCCCAGTAAAATAGATGCGGAGGAAATTAGTTCTAGCATAATTCCGCCTTGGAAGGATTTTAAGGACTGCGTACTTGCAGTTCGGCTCACTGATGAACACGATACTGGAAGGTGAATGCAAATTCGAAACTTCTCTGTGCATGAAGCTCAGCTTATGGCCTCAGTACGCCCGGCCAAGACCTCATCAATCCACAAAGGCTAGTGGAAGAGTGTAGTCTAGGTGACAATACTCCAGCCGTCGGATAAGAAGTATGAAGTCTAGGCCCTCGTATTGACTTCGTTTAACAAGCGAACCGTATCATCACGCCATGTTAGACGCCGTAAATCGTAACCAGCTTAATTGAGAGAAAAGGACATCAGGTTCCCATCGTTCCATCATGTAATAGTTATTTACAACGTCTTTTTTTAAGAAACGATGAACGAGATGACGTTAGTTTATGAGTCAGAAACTTATCGGTTGGGTGAAATCGCTCGTCTAGGGGTTACTGGGTTATATATAGTATGTCACCAGCAAGCTTGGAAGGCTATCCCAATCTTGTAAACCCCCAACATACCAGGTTGCCGTCATTATGGAATGCTTATAAAAGCATATAAGCCCCTACAGTTGATGTGGCTGAGTCCAAGGGGCAAGCCTGGTTTGGTGTGTATCGCCGCATAGTACTTCTCTTTTATTTTCACAATCTAATTAGTCTACAGCATTACCAGTTTCTTCAAGCCTCCCCAGCCTCTGGCCTGGATGATTTCGGTTATATTCGTTTTACTTAGGACCTTATGATTAATACCTTGATTCCTGGAGGATAGAGTAAGAGCATGAAGTTGTATTTCAGTCTACCTACTAAGAGATCAATAAGTATCTGTGTTTCTAGTCACCTCGGTCGCCCAAGATGTTAGTCGAGGTACCATATCATACAGTACGAGGAATTGACGGGTCAATCGTTACAAAATCAAATTAATAGACCGAGAAATGATAGAACCGACTTGTCTGAATTGTTGCTATATTGCTAAGTCGAGATACGCTACACTTGTCGAAAAGCTCATTAGCCATCTTCTAACTAGTAAAGAGCTCCTGACTAGGCTCCTATTGGTCTGGTTAATGGATAGAATGGATCTGCTGCCTATAATACCCTGGCGCACGGCCAGGCAACAAAGATCCATGTAGTGATTACGCCAAGACTCTTTCGTGCTGAGCTATATTAACGTCTGCGTGCGCACGCTGCCAATAATCAATCTTGACTTTTGTCAACATTTGAACATCTTGGCCCTTTAAACCAGTTATATCCTATCATGTCACTTCCGATTCTTCCTATCGAGCTTGTGAGCCGTATAATCAGCTCTCTTCAACGGCCCCACCAAGTACGTGCCGTGTGTCGCCAATGGAATTCACTGGCCATCAAGTACGCATTCCACACAGCTACCTTGCTCCCAACAGAAGCCGGTTATCGGAAATGGAACGCTGTAATGGATAGTTCTCAGCTCAAAAAGGCCATACGAACTGTCATCATCTACAGTCATGACCCTGATACTGTCGAATCGTCTGGGTTTGATTGGTGTGAAGACGAAGAGGACAACAACTATACCCCGTTCCAGAAGGCTGTCTCGCGTATAAAAGAACTAGATCTTGTTTCCAAGGTCTCCATTAAATTTTCTCATGAAAGTTATGGAGTGCAGGGTGGGTATTGTGAAGTAGAGACAAAAGAGGCCAGAGAGAAGACATTGATTACTGTCTTCGAGGCCATAAAGACACGCGCGGAAGAGAAACCTGATAAATCTACGATACACGCTCTCTCCTTACAGAATCTACAAAACTATCCGCTTCCGGAATTTACGTCCAGCGAACTCTTCAAGGCTGTCACCAAAGACATTGACGAACTTCACCTCGACATCAAAGAAGAGCACAACAGCCATGGTCCCGACTGGGATATCTACTTGCCTGAACTTGTGGAATTCACGCCTTATCTCCAAGAGCACTGGCTCGCCCCCCTGTCCGGACAACTCACCAAGTTGTCTCTGTACTTTACAGAATTTTGGGGCACCATGCCTGGAACCTTTCATGGTCACGGTTTGGACTTCCCACGACTGCAAACCCTCACTCTGGGCCAACTCGCTATCTCGCACCACGACCATCTGGACTGGGTCCTGCGACAGAAGACTCTCAAAACTTTACGCTTTGAGAGATGCGTCATCTGTCCTTACATTCGAACAGAGTCGGACAAGATAGGTGAATGGAGAATCCCAACAGATGACTGGGAGGAGCTTCCTCGTGGTGCGTACGGATTCGAGATGGACGATGACGCCCTTTACTATTTCCCAGGAACTTGGGAGTCCATGTTTGACAAGATCCGCACAAACCTCCCTCAGCTTGTGGATTTCCAGTTCAGTTGGCCTTCTTGGACACCTGTTATGTTTGACGACCAAACACACTTGGGAACTGAGCTATCCAACTCCCGGTATCTTGTCTTTGACATCGGCCTTTGCCCCAGTCGCTGGATTGAAGCAGGGCACGACGGAATATTAAGCTTCGGAGATGACGATCCCACGGTTGTGGACGAGGAGAATTCGGAAACTCGGGACCCCAAGGAGCTGAATCGCCATAAGGAAACACTGGCTGGTGACCAAAGGGCATTTGAGGAACTGCTGAAAGCAACCTATAAAAGGCAGTGATGCCGACCTCATCTCGATGATTACGACATGATGTTGCCACCTTCACCCACGCTCATGAATACGATGCAATCAATTTCCATCTTGCATTGTCATCCTCTTCAGGCTATTGATCGCCCAACTTACATGGGAATTACTCTTTTTTTTGTAGAAGTGGACCGTTATCAATGTATTTCAAGAACTATTTGTTGTACCCATAGCGTATTAACTTACTGCTAAGTCAATCACACAATCGATACGTAAGGGTGGAAAAACCTTCGGTTGTGAATCCATGCATAGGTACACGTACCCAAGGTCCAGAGTTGGGGGTGCTCTCAATTAATAGAGTCATGGCTAAATTATGGGCTTATGATCCGCACTCGCAGTTTTGATTTTCCCCTTTCCCAGTCTCATCTCTCAAATCATATGGAGTGACTGCTCTATGCAAACCCATCGCCTGGCTGTAAATGCAGGAGCTCAAATGCCGTGTTGTGTTGTCACTGTTCCAAGATGTAGGGTAGGCGAAGTGGCAAGCCGGGTTCTTATCTTATCGCTGTTATCTACGCACGTGGCTTATCATCGTTTCTTCAGGGGGTTTAGGCCTGAACGACAGCGGCTGCAGCTGCTGAACCTGCCAAATACACCATCACCCAGGCTGCTGCTGCTGGAGTTGATTTCATACTCAACAAGATCATTATCGCACACTCGTTGGACATCCCATACTGAACCGACTGCCAATTGTCTTTTCTATAGTATCTACTGGATGTGGCACAACTGCACACTGATGCGCCATTCTATGGCCCTGACTATCGACCTTCAAGCGGACAGTTGCGATGAGCATGCCTCGTGACCACCGCCGGTCGAACGTGCGCCGTGCCAACGTCACCGCATGCACCAGATGCAGATCCCGGAAGCAGAGGTGCGACCAGAAACTCCCGGCGTGCTCCAATTGCGAGAGAAGTGGAGTCGAATGTATGAGCACAGATATTGATGGCAGAGTCGCGCCCAGAAGGTCCGTCGCCACACCCTTCCCCGTCAACAGCTGCCTTTAACTAACACATTTCCTTTAGCTACATCAAGAATCTCGAAGATCGCGTTGCGTATCTTGAGACTCAGCTACTCTCCCATGGAATCCATGACTTTGAGGCCCCTTCCTCAGGCTTCACGCCCCTGACAAGTAACAGTCTTGATCTTTCGTCTGATCCAAACACCATCCATGAGTTGGGGAGACAACCTGATGATCTGGTCGGCCAGATTCCCCTTGAATGTATACAGTCCGAAAGCTTCACTACATCGATAACCGGCTATAATGGGCTTTCTCTACTGCGGTCCTTGCTGGCTGACCCAATAGCCAAAGCGATGGCTGGCAACAACCAATCCGACCACCACGCTCTCCTTCATGAACTTCCCTACGAAACCCGCGCAAGCATGCCTCCTAAAGAGGCAACTGTCCGCCTAGTTGACACATACTTTGAGCACTGCGACTTCTTCTCCCCAATCATTTCGTCCAAGGAAGACTTTCTGGCCATGGTTGAGCCCCTATACGGTGCTTCGACCAATGCAGATCCAAAGCTGGCTTGCGCCAAATTCCGAGCCCTCGTCGTTTTCGGGACCGCAGTGCTACTTCTAAACAGGCGTGATTCTTCTGTACCGATATCAAGATCTGAAGGCTATTTTGCCGCTGCAATTCGGATCCTCTCCCAGCATCCCGACTCGATTTGCACAGGGGACCTCGAGCACCTTGCCAATCTGCTACTTCTCGTCCAGCATTTCTGCTTCTCTTCTAATCTAACCGCTGCTTGGCATTTTATCGGCCTAAGTACGCGTTTGTCAATCGAATTGAATCTGCACAATGAAAGGGCAACAGGAGCGCAACTGGACGACGTGGCTATTGATCATCGTAGATGGCTATTCTGGTCAACGTACGTGCTCGAGCGCAACCTTTGTACCATTGTCGGCCGTCCATTCTCCATTCCAGACGAGTCGATCAGTACACCGCTTCCTGATGTCCCCAAGGACAACCCACGTCGACAGCTTGCTCACCACTTGCTCAAATGCCGCCGACTCGAGTCAGAAATACACGTGACCCTCAGGCAAAGTGCTCCGTTCAATGGTGCCGTCCTGGATACAGAGATATGGAGGAGGAGCATGCGGCAGCGAATAGATGAGTGGTTTACTTCCACCCCCGCGGTAGAGCACTCGACTCAGCTCGCGCCGACCGACATCGTAACCGGATACTATTACAACAACATGGTGCTGCTTTACTACCCTTCACATCTTTTGCCGACTACATCCTCCGAAGATCTGATGGAATTGGCGCAAAATGCAATCAAGAGCATCGAATGCTATCGACAGGCATTTCGAGCAGGAAAGTTGCGCTTCTACTGGCGAACCGTGCATAACCTTTTCCGGAGCGGTGTAGCTCTAGCATATTGCACATATGCGGCCACCATGTCGCATGATGGGCACATCGATTTGGGAGATGCAGATGCTTCTCTCAATTCATGCTCCTCGATTCTTTGGGGCATGGTTGAGAGATATCCAAGGGGAAAGCCTTACCGCGATATATTTGAGTCTATTGTCAGTTCACTCTCCAAGCAAAGCGACAGCCAGAGAGAAAGAGTACCACCGGGGGAATTTCCGACTTCCATATTTCATGATATCATCGGTTTTGATCACACGGGGTTCCCACTTTCGGTAATGGATTCGATGTCATGGGAATTTAATGACAGTCCCGGGCAGGTGAGGTGAATCCCAAGAAGTTGCTGCTCTATAAATGTGTGTATGGTATGAGCCACTGTTTATTTACCGCTCATTTTGTATAATTGTGTAGTCTCTATGTACATGTGTGGGCGTTACGGGTTGTTTACTTAATCGATCACCTAACCAACCTAGGCGGAGACCAGTTGATATAAAACATCTTGTAATTCATAATCTTAGATCTAGTTTTATCACAGTTCCTTCAGCGGGTCAGGCGGCGCAGGGTCATATTTCAGACTTCTCAAAAACTCTGTCTTGAGCTTTGTCATCGGCTGTAGGACCCAAGTATTGAAGGCCAGAATGTCCGACTCCTCCTTTGGGTCTCTGACCGTGTTGAAGAGATATGGTGACTCGAGCTTCCCAGAGGACTGGTTGACCTTTGGCTCCCATACGTAGTGTAGCTTCCAGTCTTTCCACTTGATGGCGCGCAATTCCTCCTTCAGGTAGAAGCAGAAACCGAGTCTCTGCGATTTGACCTCGGTCGGCTTCTGGAAGAATTCCGTCTGGTCGATGCCATCAATTGGGCGGTCTGATGGCAAGGGGGACCCAGTTATAGACAGGACGGTGGTGAAAAGATCCGTAACGTGGACGATTTCGTTTGACGTGACACCTTCAGGTACCTTGCCAGGCCACCTTACAATGCACGGGACGCGAAGACTTCCCTCCATCGCGGTATGGTACGTCCCCGACCAAGGCCCAGCGGTGCCCCGATATGGCTCTCTGAACTCGGGGCCGTTGTCCGAGGCAAAGATGAAGACGGTGTTTTCTCTGACCCCAAGAGAGTCGAGATGGTCGATGAGCTGGCCTACTCGGTAGTCCATCTCAGCCATCGAATCAGCAAAGTCACCCTGCTGAGTCTTCCCGGCAAAGTCTTTGTGCGGAAGCGTGGGAAAGTGAAGGTGGACGAGGGGATGGTAGAGGAAGAAGGGCTTCTCGGCTTCTACCTGCCGCGAGAGCCAGTCTTTGGACTGTTCGACCAGCATGTGGTCAATGTCTCTCCTCTTCTCCAGGTCGTAGACACAGATGTTCTCAGAAGGCTCGCCGGCCTTTCCCTTCATGATGTATGGCAGCTCGGCCACCTCGGGCGTGTATCCGATCGCAGATGTGAACTGGGTCTCGTCTGTCGTGCGCGGGATGCCGAACCACTCGTCAAACCCTCGATCGGATGGGTATCGGCCGGGAATGTCGCCAAGATGCCACTTCCCATGGTGCGCGGTCGCGTAGTCGTTGTCCTTGAGACACTCGGCCAGCGTCTTCTCCCAAGGAGTCAACCCCTGAGGGAAGCCGGCCGGGACTGACTGGCGGCAGCCCGTGCGGATCGGATGCCTGCCTGTCATGAGGGCTGACCGCGTAGGTACACAGTCGCTCTCGACATTGAAGTTGTGCAGTAATAGGCCTTCGGTCGCGAGCTTGTCGATTCTGGGGGTGGCAGCTCCGCGCAAGATGCCTCCTCCATAGCAGCCCAATTCGCCCCAGCCGAGATTGTCGGCGAGGGCAAGCACAACATTCGGTCTCTTCGGGTCGCGTGACATGGCTAGTAAGGTGGCTGCAGATCAAAATCGAGAGATAATGTCAGGGGGATGAAGGCAAATACACGATCTCCGACTCAAGGTTGATATCTATCCAAGAAACTGAGCGACATCGCGACATCGGCTTTCATCATTAAAGGTCTTCGCTCACCCCCGACTTGTTACAGCTCTTTCGGGGCCCTGTTCGATCCACATGTGATCCCTTTCCAGTTATTTCGGCTCCAAGTCCGTCGCTCACCTCCGAAGACTAGCAAGAATCGTCTCCACCCGGCAGAGTCATGAAAATTAAACCACTCGCTCACCTCCGACTTCTCGTCCTGAAAGGCCTCTTGATACACGCAACAAGCTACCGAGACCCATGCAATCAGGAGTTGACGCCATGCATTATCGGGATGACGAAAAATCCGGGGAAGAGGCAGACCCTGTGCATCCGTCCATAAAACTCACATCCTGGAACGACTCGAGGAAGAGAGTTGGCCGGCTTGTCCATCTTCAACATCAACATTTATCACGCCCTGGACTCTCATCCCGGGCAGGAATCTACCACAATGGAAGACAAACCAGCCCCAATCATGGATATCGATAGGAAGGAATCCAACTCCAAGTCTGAAGAGCCCGGGCTAGTGGAGCCCATCATGACTCCCGAGGAGGAGCGTTCTACCTTGCGAAAGTGAGTCGCCATGCGACCAGAGTTCTCTTTCTTCCTTATTTGGCATTAGACTTACAATTAATTAGGCTCGACTTTTTCCTCATGCCGCTGCTCGTTAGTGGCTTCTTTGTTCTTCAGCTCGATCGCAGCAACATTGGGAATGCATTGACCGATACCCTTACGACCGATCTCGGCATTACCACAGACGACGTAAATCTAGGAAACCAACTTATGTTGATCGGAATAATAGTTGCAGAGATACCCTCCAATCTTATTCTCCAAAAGATCGGTGCTCCCGTGTGGCTCACGCTCCAAATGTTCATCTGGGGCCTGATAGCCCTTACCCAGGCATGGTGCACGAATATCAACTCATTCTATGCTACCCGCTTCCTACTGGGTGTGTTCGAGGGCGGATATATCCCCGGTGGCCAGTACATGCTGGCACTTTTCTATACTCGAAAGGAATTGGCATTGCGAACTGCCATCTTCTACTTTGGAAACTACTCTGCTACCGCAACTGGCAGTCTGATTGCGGCGGGCATTCTAAATATGGGCGGACTGCGAGGTCTTTCCGGATGGCAATGGCTATTCATCAGTGAGTACTCACTCAACCAAACATCAGTAGCAATGCGACTAATGAACCAATAGTTGAGGGTGCTCTCACACTACTTATCTTCCTCGGCTTTGTCGCTCTGCTCCCCTACAGCCCCGAACGTACTGCTCCAATCCACGGTCGTTGGGACTTCTTCTCCGAGAGAGAGCGACAATTCATGAGTATTCGAGTAGTCTCCGAAGACGAGAGCAAGAGTGCCCACAAGGCCAAGATTTCATTCGCCAGCCTTGGAGAGGCTCTGCTCGACTATCGCCTGTGGCTCCATATGGTCCTCAACGTTGCTAGTCTTGCTCCCAAGGGGGGTCTGCAACTTTACGGACCGCTTGTGATTCGCAGCCTTGGATTCTCAAAAACGGACGCCAATCTCCTCAACGCAGTCAGCAGTGTCCTTGTCATCGCCCTATCGTGGATCATTTCCATCGCTTCAGATCGAACCAAGCTTCGCGGTCCGTGGTGTATAGTAGCCTTGATGTGGTCCGTCATATTTGCCGGGGCTTTGTTTGCCAAGACGACCGATCCAGATAAGTGGCTGCGATATGCCCTGTTCACTCTGCTGAGCGGCGGGAATGCTCTTACACAGGGTCTCAACGATGCTTGGCTCAGTATCAACGCTACGAGCGCGAGCAAGCGGAGCATTGGCCTGGCTATGGTCGTGATCGGGAGTAACTTGGGTGGACTTGCGGGTCAGCAGCTGTTTCGATCGTCTGATGCACCCAAGTACTCACAGGCCTTCCTTGCCATTCTGTTGCTTTATTCTGCCTCTATTCCCATCACGTTGGTTATCATGTGGGTTTATTGGCGGGATAACAAGAAGGGGCGAGCCGCACGGGTGAATGAGGCTGAGAATTCGATCCCAGAGAGGAAATTCGATATTTAGTTCATGAGCCATGGTGAGAGACGATAGGGCTTTTGTCTCTACAATATAGTTCAGTGTCTATAATTGATATTATGCTCGGGTGTTTCAGAATTCATATCCGTGGAAAAGTGGAAGAAGATAAACTGCATTGTGCAATGCCTCGAACTTGTCCTCATGCTTATGGGATCATCACGATAGGGAAACATCAAACGCAGAAATAGATCCTAGCTAGATTACCATTATCCTAACAGATTTAATACTTATTTCATGAGATATCCTTCATTATACGTTAACCTTTGACATTCAATTGCCGTGAGAAACCTGGTACGCCTGCATGACTACTTGCGCAAACGTCAATGTCACGCTCAATGAGCCGAAAATGCCAACCAACCAAAACGTCCAGAACTGCAATGTGTCCCTCCTGTCCTTCAAGAGCCCAGATATTGACTTCGGCCGGGTTCCATTTAATTCTTGAAAGAGCAGTTCCACCCGATCGTGTAATACTGAAAAATCCCGAGCTGCATAGTAAATGTGCCGGTCTACTGGAAGTGGGAAATCTCCCAGTTTCGCGGGGACCTGCTTCTGGGAGCACAAGGCTGCTAGAAGCGTATCTGGCTGGGGGCAGGGGAGTTTCTGCGGGTCGAAAGTCTGTCGAAAGACTTTCCGAGATTTCTTTGATTGACCAAACAGCAGACGATAGGACAAAAGGACCTCTACCAGCAAATGTGTGATATCGCTCTCATTCGCCCTCGGGTCCGCCGACTCGAACTCCGTGCTTGCAAATGCAAAAATTGATCCTCCGTCCCTTAGCTGGGATACGCATTTTGATGGGAAGCAGAAGAGTGATAGAGTGCGGCTTGACTTGTCGAAATCTAGGTGCAGGGAGATGGAGTCCACCCAACGAAACCGAACACCAAGGAGTGTGGTAAGAAGATAGGCGTTCACTTCGCTCGGGTAAAGTGGAATCCATGATGCCACAGCCTTCTTACTTAGCACAGATGTTTCTTGGTGGATGTGATATCCCGCCGGCAGGAGATTTCCGAACCCCCTTAACAAGGCGAACAAGGGACGGTCGCATAAATCAGTGGACATCTTGTACGCGTAGAAGACAAGCTTAGAATCAGGAAGAGAGTCGTCATGATAGATAGCCAACTGAGTGGAAGGACAGCCAGTCAAATCTGGCCGGTACAGCATTGATTGCCAGCCTAAAATGCTGAAGATGAGCCCTCGAACACAGTTGAGAGATTTGCTATCGGTGAAATCGATCGAATCCGTTGACTGTAGGTATTCAATGATGTTGTCAACGCTCAATCCTTTACGGTCCTTCACATACTGTTCCACTTTATCCATGAAACGATGGAGGACCCCCGGTTCCGAAAGTTGCTCGCCATCGATTGTTATTTGGCAGTAAGTTGGAGGCAAGTTCTGGACCCGTGAAGAAAGCCAGAGCGAATACCACGATAGGTCGACAGTGATATCCCGATCAATATTGAGGGTACTCCTTCGCGAGACCATCGTCTTGCTGCTCAGTCGACGGGCACCAGCGGTTACGGCCCGAGTCAGCCGCTTTGGTTTCAGTGAATTATAGTTAACTGACGGCATCAGCGTTTAGACTTGCTTATTTCATGTTAAGACGACCTTCTGGTGGGCCTTACTCACGGTCATTTGTGGTAGGAGATTGGGCTGCCTTGGAGTCTGCCCCGTCCTCTTGGCGGGCGGAATCTTCTTTTCCATCGGGTTTGTCCAACATATTCGGCATGGTGGGGGGAAATAATTGAAGTAGCAGGGTTTAATTATTTGTTCAGGAGAGAAACTTAGTACATATACCAGAGGGTGCTAGCATGCAATAAAACAACCAACAAGAACCAGCCTCCGAGCGGGCGCTTAAAATGAAGAATTCAAAGCCACCAAGCCGACGCCACGTACCACATCCAAGGCAGCGTTACTCCGCCTCATCCAAGGAAATGCTCGTCTCAAACGCCTGGGGGCTTCGAGGCCCACTTAGCTGCATGCACTGAATTTGAAGGATCCAACATTAATCATTTAGGTAGTCTTTGGCTGCACAAATGTGTATGAAAGCTACCGTAGGCAGCTTCACGACAGACTAATCTGAACACCAGGACTATTGCCTCTCTAAAACAATATATGAGCAAGCGCTTTTGGATGTTTTCGTCGATCTTTGAGAAAGTACATACGTACCATTTCAAGAAGCTGCATGGCTTATTCTTGTTGGTGCTGGAAACAGGGATATCATGCAGGAGAGCGGGCAGTAGCTTTGGTGGCCTTCCCCCTCTTCTTTGGATCTCGAGAGCCATTGTCCATTTCACGATCTCTACCAACAAGACAGCCTGGACTGATTATTGGTTAAGCCAATTCCCTATCCATGCTAGTTCGCAGAGGGTCACTCAACCGTCGCAATGCGTCTTGAAACCATTCCTGAGGAGGGCACCGAGGACAGCCATGTTGATCCTCCGAGCCCCGTAAATCTCAACTGGACGAATGCAATAAGCAGATATTATCACGAACTTCACAAAGGAGGGATCGAGCAGTCAGTTATTGACAAAGATTTGTGGATTATTCAAAGTCCGGAGGATCTTTTCACCCAGATTGAGCCGCTTGACGAAGTACAAGGCTCACAGTCCAGCCCCTGGCCGGGTGCCATCACCCAACTGAGGCCTATACTTGTTGCCCTGAACGATTTTGTTGCTGTTACCTCATGGGTCATGGGGGCGAAGGCCAAATTTGCCGCAGTCTTATGGGGCTCTTTTAGATTGATTTTGAAGGTGCGTTGCTCTATCATCAGTCAATCATGCAATTTCCTTGAGGCTAACATCTTGGGCAATAGTTTGCCCAGCCGGTCCTCGCCGATGTTATCGAGATGATCGAGAGCCTAGAGCACGCGCTGCCCCAAATAAAACAATACGACAACGGGCTTCCCATGGCACTAGAGTTGGAAGGACCCCTGTCGGACGTGTATGGCGAGATCGTCGTGTTCTGCGCACATGCCATAGTTGTACTTCGCAACTCCCCTGACATTGGGCACAACAAGCTGGTGCGATATAAATTCTCCAAAGATATATATCGGATTATCGAAAATATCCGGAAATTCTCCCAGCAGGTAGATAAAGCCGCAGGGATAATCACACTCTTCAGAGGAACGAAGAACATAGATACCATTGCCGCACCTGAGGACTTAAAAATAGCCAACAAGCCCGAAGGCGCCAACTTGCCTTGTTTAATGGTACCTTATGGGCTGAACTTAAATTTCTTTGGCCGAGAGAATGAGTTGGCTTTTCTTAGAGGGGCTCTTGATCCGTCGATCGGGACCACGTTGCGTGCTATTCGCGTTCATGGCCTAGGGGGTGTTGGCAAAACGCAGCTGGCTCTGCACTATGCCAATACGTCTAGAAACATATATAAAATTATTGCATGGATTCCTGCGGAGACAGATATCAGAATCATGCAAGCAATTACAAATCTAGCCTCAAGGCTTGGGCTTGTCAAAGATTCCAACGAAGACGATCGTCACAACCTCCAAACAGTGCGCGAATGGCTCAACAAGACAGATGCCCCATTTCTCCTCATTTTTGACAACTTGGAAAGGTCTGAGTTGCTGGGTCAAGTGTGGCCGACGAGTGACAAAGGGTCAGTTCTCATTACCACTCGCTGTCCTTCACAAGCCTGGAGGCAGGACCCAGCCGACCTTGCACTGAGCCCCTTCTCTATTGAAACAAGCAAAGCCGCCTTCGAATCGCTGGCGGGACTGGTTCCTGTAGACCAAGAAGACGAAGCAGCCATGGTAGAGTCCTGCGCCCTTCTAGGAGGGTTACCGCTGGCCATGGTCCAGGTTAGTGGTTTCATTCGCGATCTTGGCTGCTCATACGTAGAGTTTCTGCAGATCTACAAGAAATCGGCTGAGAGGTTATTTGCCAAACTTGATATTCCTATCGAGTACAATGCTACTGCGTTGACAACATGGGAAGTCTCGGTGGAGAGGCTGTCCGAAGACGCCAAGAATTTACAAAACCTACTCGTGTTTCTTGACCCAGACCTCATCCCTGAGCGTCTTCTTACTGATACGACGGCCGGAATTGAAGACCCTTGTTATGAATTTCTTACAGACGAGTTTGAGTAGGTTCTCTTTTTGTAATTATCGCCCGTGAATCCCAACGGATTAGGCTAACGCATTAGGTATATAGCTTTGGGGAGGCCGTCGCTGAGCTATGGAGGACTTCATTGGTTCGCCGTCTATCAGGCATCAAAGCGCTTTCCCTTCATCGCATATTCCAATTAGCTGCTTTCTCAAAGATCCCGAAAGAGAAAAGGGTTTATCTATTCGACCTCACTGTTGAAATTCTCTCATTCGACTTTCTAAACTCTTGGAAGGCCCAAGGCCCATACCAAGGCCATGGTTACGATTTTTGGGAGACGTGTAGCGCCGTACTGCCTCACATTATTTGGTTGAAGGGATTAAGCGACAAATACAAAATCAAGCCAGATAACTTAGAGAAATGGGCTGAGTTGTTGTTTAGAGCCGGAACGTGAGTTGATACAGCCAACTCGTTGTTGTTTTGTTCTGACAGTTTCGATCTAGTTACCTTTGGGAAACGCAACAGCCTGCTCTGGCAAAAGAATTTTTCCAGTATGGCCTTCATGCAGGCTCCGAGATGCCTGCTCAAATATCTGCACGGGTGCACAGAATGATGGGGCATGTTTATCTTGACATGGCGCAGCCACATGCCGCCCTCGAGGCTTATAAAAAGACCCTCACATTGTAGGAGTCTATCAATGGCATTGGATCAACTGCTGTCGCCGATGTGTGCGACTCAGTTGCCTGCTCTTACACCGAGATTGGCGATGCAGACAACGCGTTCAAGTATCTGCAACGAGCGACTGATATCCATAATTCCCATGACCCCAATAAAATGAGTCGCACTATAGCTATTGAGGCGATGACATATCTCCGTGCTGGAAAGCCTGACGAATCACTTGCCGCCATCGTCAAATGCTGGCGGCTTCAAGGCAAGACGCAACAAGAGATCGAGAATTCACCCTACCCTAAGCATAGTGGCGATATTATGCTTTTATCACGGATTTATTGGCTGCAAGGGAAGAAGAAACAAGCTGAGGAATTGACTTCTCATGCCCTCAAGATGCGCAGAGGCACCTTTGGAGAGAACGGAGGACCACGGGTGGCAGACTCGCTCTTCGCGCTGGCCCGAATCTTGGAGGACTTTGAGGAATACGCACTCGCCGCAGGGCTATTGAGTCGGATCGTTGCGATGAGCGGTGATGGCCTCGATATGAGGCCACACCTTGCGAGGGCTTACTGGTTTAGTGCTAACATGGAGGCAAAGATTGATCAGGGGGGCAATCATGTTGCAGAACTGAGAAAGAAAGCCCGAGAAGCTCGGAAGACTATTGACTCTCGTGAGTGGCCGGATGATGATACGGACGAGGGATTTATGAGATTAGTAGGATGGATGTTATGGTGATCGCCAAACCTCTACGCTAAACGGAATGAGAACCGAGTGGGAAATTCACTTTCCCCCTGATTGGCCAAACAACATCTGCGGTAGGTGTGATGGAGGCCTTCATATTCAAACGACCCTCTGCAAACAGAGCTATTCCAACCGGAGCGAACATATTAAAGGCAAAACACTAATAACTTCTAGAACCAAAAATGAAATAATTAGAACTCGAGTCTCTCCATTCCAAGCGGGTCCAAGAGACTCCCTTAGACCCTGGATACGCCTGAAGGACAAGATGATCTAGACTCTTGGTAGGTGAGGCACAGCTAGTATAAATTGCACTTCCTTGCTAACTCAGTCATATTCTACCCTTCGTAGTTAAGTCGTCACTTGATTTGCCGTAATTTTGTGAGCGCAAGAGGATATGAGATTGTCGTTGACAGAAATAGATGGATGACCTTCTAAAAAAGATTTCTGGGGCGTATGGAGCTATTCACTAAGTGTGATCTGATCTTTCCAAATAAATGGGCACTACCGAAGCGAGGAGAAATCCTACGCAAATACCGGCATTGCCTCAGATGACAGATGCTGGCGGAAATGAAGGGTGAAGATCTCCATTCTCCACTAGGCGCGCGCGATCAGCCTGGAAATCCTAAAAATAGCATCCATCGTGAGATCACCAAACGCAGGTTGCCACCGGAATTTTCTTCCAACATACAGGAGTTTTGAAAATCAACATGTTAGTGTCAAGAATTGTCGCGATCAGAATACGCAAGTTGTCTGTATTGACGCTGTACGAACCAACCAGCAACGCCATCCGCCGTGGATGGCCTTGAAGTCCCGAAATATAAAAAGTGGCCCCTTGTCCTGAGACCAGAGTTGCTGTTTTTGGCTCAGCGTATTGCGGACTTGGCCCTGGCTCCGGCCTTGGCTCGGGTCAGCTTATGCTGGTCCGTGACTCTGGTGGGCTGTGAACTGACCTCACCGGCAAGGATCACTGGTCCACGATCGGCGCATAGCATCGATCGCGAAGAGTACATTAACTTGCCGTTATCTCTCTTTTTGTTTCGTCTCATCTCATCTCCTCCATCAGCCTCATCGACGCAAAATAGAGCTAGACGACCACAGCAACCTTCCAACGTCTTCACTCCCAAACTCGTCAAGATGGTGTTTCTGTTCCAGTTGGTCGCTCAGCTATTGCTGGCCTCTACGGTCCTTGCCGCAAGTATGTTTTGACTCATTTCCAAAACCTTTCATCTATCATTTACTAACATCGCTCTCCCCACCAGCAAATCTAGGCAAAGTCATGCCTCTGGGTGCATCCATTACCTGGGGCAAAGGCTCAACCTTGGGCAACGGCTACCGAAGATTCCTCCACGGCTCACTGACCGATGCCGGATACACCTTCACCTACGTCGGCAGCCAGACCAGCGGCTCCATGACCAACAACCAGAACGAGGGTTTCCCAGGTCTTCGCATTGGCCAGGTCTACAACGAGCACGCCAAGGTCGATGTCCCCAAGTACAAGCCCGATCTCTACCTCATCAACCTCGGCACCAACGACGCGGTACAGAACTTTCAAGTCGATACTGCCGGGCAGCGCATGGAGGAGCTTATTGACTTCCTGTGGAAGACGACCCCCAACGCCAAGATTGTCCTGTCTACTCTGATCCGAAGCAACAACGCCGAATACGATGAGCGAATTGTCAAGATCAACGCTCAATACCGGGCTCTCGTCGCAAAGCGCGAGGGCAACGGCAAGATCTTCGTGGCCAAGATGCATGACCCCAACGGACCTGCTGTTGCCGATATCTCGGACGACAAGATCCACCCCAAGGACGAGGGTTTCAGGAAGATGTCCGTCATCTTCTTTGACGCCATCAAGAGGGCGTATCCTATCAAGAAGAGCAGGGAATTTACTGCTTAGGCACATCAGTGATGAAAAGTGCTTGACGCTACGACGTTAACGGCCGGGCTTTCTTTTCTTTTCTTTTCTTTTCTTCAACTCTCTATTTAGACTGGGATATGTTCTTCTTCTTCTTGCCTTTTTTTTTTTTTTTTTTAAGCATATTCTATTTCAGATTGTATATATTTTTATTTCTTGATCATGAAATTTTTATATTAAGCCCCCTTCATAGATATAGACAAAAATGAGCTGAGTTCTACTATTGAGCAAAAGACGGATACCAGAGGTTCCATGTGTCTTGATCCTAATTGTAAATGTCATGATCTCGGGACTTCTCTTGTCTATGGCAATAAAAGAAATACATAAAATGTAACTAACGAGATACATATCCTTCTACCTCTATCGCTTGCGCTGCCACCAAATACCTGACGATACCTCACAATTTGCTTGGCCTTTGAGCTGTCTCTCTGGCCTGACCCGCCTCGGCACCGCTGTAGGTGGAAGCATTTCCACTATGTACCTGCTCATGTTCAAATTCGCGACCAATCTTTCCGCTTGCACGACCTTTCTTCTCAAGATAGGCAATCAACAAGATGAGTGGAATGACTGCCGCCCCGGTGGCCAAGCTAGCGATATAACCCTTCCTGTAATTCGGCGCGTCGGTGACTGGGTAGAAGATCAACGGCCACCACGTCACAAAGGCGAAGTCAAAGGAATTCATCCACCCGGTCGTGATAGCACGCAGCTGGAGATCATGTGCTGTGACATCGGCCATCCAGGAGTACCAGATGGCTTGAGGCGCGTAAGTTGTGCCTAGGAGGTAAAAGGCGAAGAACACGGCGCCGTCACTGCTGGGGTTGGATACGAGAATAGCACTGCCCACAACAAAGGTCGCCCCAATAGCCAGAGAGGGCTGCCAACGAGACTGGATTGCATCGGACCATATTGCATAAAGAATAGTGCCGACAATGGCTGTGGCGAACACGCCAGTCGGGTAGGTATTCTGCTGGATAACAGTGTACCCGCGCGACTTCATCCATAGAGGCATAACGTTATTCAACAACATCTGCACGCATAGGGAGTACACTTGATCATCGTTAACATGGTGAACGGTAATGACAAAAGGAAAATATCAAAGGGCTGGAGCACTTACACATGAAGATGAATGGCAAGAGATAGAACTGCCAGCTCGTCAAGACTCGTCGCAAAACGGTTATATCCCAGGTGAATTCTTTGTGCTTTCCAAGTCTTTCTACGGCCCAGTCCTTCTCCTCGTCGGTGAGAAACCAAGCACTCTTGTGGGTGGGCAGATTAGGGATCACGACCCATCCTGTTGTCCATGTTAGCAATAAGGCGTATCATAGCACATAGGTAGAGCTCACCAAGAATGACGATTGGTATAGTGATGATAGAGACGATAATGAACAGCCATCTCCAGGCAGCGAGACCGGCGCGGCCATCAAGGGAGCTGAGGAGACCTGCTTGAATCCAGCCTCCGGTCATACTTCCCAGGTGGCCAAAACAACAGAAGACGGCTGCGCGAGTGCCCAGCTCCGACTTTTTATACCAACTCCCATAAATAAAATGGCCACCGACACTGCGATTTGGCGGTTAGATAACAGCAAGTACGCGAATATTAGTAGGATTCGGCGTCATAAACGTACTAACACACAGCCGCAAATGCACCCTCAAAACCATTGAGAATAAACAACTGGTAAACATGGTTCATCCTGAATGTCACCAGTGTCAACACGCTCCACACCACATTGCAGCCAACAAACACATATTTCGGTTTGAATATTGTCAGGAGGGACGTTGAGGGAATTTGGGCGACAGCGTAGAATACGGTGTATATCGTGTGCATGTAGTTGAAGTCCTTGCCCTTGAAGCCGACGTCTTTTTCCATGCCGCTAATGTATGCGGTCGAGTAGCTTGAGCGATTAATGCCGAACAAGAACCACATGAGCGAAAAGTAGGGCAGAAGGGTAAAGTCTAGCTTCACGAGCAGCGAGCGATCCCGAGAGGGGGGACCCCAGAGGAATTGCTTCACGCGCTCTAGAGTCGCCATGATTGAGCCCGAGTGAAGCGGCCAAATATAAGATATAAGTAGCAAGGTCGCCAAAGGTGATGTGAGCTCTTTTATTTGATTTCTCTCCTGGCGAGATGTTGGAAAGAGTACACGTCGAGGGAGGCGATGAGACGTGCGCAGATCATCCAAAGGCGGGGGTGAGGATGACAAAATGTCGGGTGTAGCGCACGCAATCGGCTGTACCACCTGCCGTACTCAAGACATTGTGGATGCAACATATCTTGAGCATTTTGACAAGATCTTGATTGGATATCCAAAAATCATTACTTGCGGTGGCTAAGGCCTCACAAGTGAAGCACGCAACGAACTCAAGACACCATGGCGCGGAGTTTTCATGAGCCCTATATATTTAAACTCTCCTACGTTCACGAAGATGAGCGAGCTGGTATAATGATCAATCACTTTTCCGACTTCCTCTGCAATTATTGCGGCTAGTTCCGGAAGCGCTCTATCATCCTCAATCAATGATGGGTGAAATTTGACTTCAAGCACTTTATCACGGGCCTCTGGCTTGCAAGGATTGAGTTGATACCCAGGGTGGACATTACCTCATCTGTGCTCCTGTTGTGTTGGGACCAACCCTTGTTATAACACACCATCTCACTCAGAATTCCTCTATTTAGGCTTTAACTTAACCTTCCACATGTCACAACGAACAGGGCCTATAGTCCGATTCTCTCTTAAAGAGAATGGCGACATTTATTCCAGGATCCTCGCCATGATTTATGGACTGGTATATGCTTGAAATGAGAAGGTCAAACTGATGGTCGTTGATGGGGCCAGGTTCCTCTCCCAGAGCTGTTGAACTAAACGTAGACATACAATGTCAGTCTCCGAGACCAAATTGCAAGACCAGAGTCACGCAGGACTATGCTGTGCTGCTTTTTAAGAAACCTAGAACGGGTATGATCAGGATCGGGGTGTTCCCGTGATTCCAAGATTCGACAGCCCTTCCCCCCAGCGGCAGAAGGATCCTTTAGTGCTTAAAGTACATCGGCGTGAAAATCTAATATCTGACGTCTCATAAACTCCAGAGTATTTTCTCAAATCTAATATCTTCATGACATTAGTTCAGTTTCATTTGAAAATATATCAATAAGAGAAACCTTTAAGATCTATTTACTTTCTCTCGTTAGCCCTTTTTCTGCTTTTCCAGTAGAGTTGCTACTCTTCAAGTTTCGGATACAAAGATCGAGGCGGGGATATTCCCTCGAGATTTCTTTCGGATAGTCTCAATTCTGTCACTAAATACATACTGAAATTAAAGTCTTTGCTGCGCGCTTCAAGTCCAGTATGCTTTAATACTACCGATATTAAAATTACAACTAAAGCAAAGGCTATCTAGAGAGCTAAAGGAACACAAGAGGCTTGACTACCATTAGCAACGTTGTAAGCCTTAGCTTATACTGGTAGTGTGTACTTTATGGAGATACTTCCGGGATCAACTTGTAAATGTGTGAAACTCTTTCGGTTGAGGATTCAGTTTGTTCGACTCCTGACTAAGAACAGGGCCGTTACGCATAGTAGATCACATCGATGTATAGCTCTTAGTTATTTGTTTAGGCTCTCGGAATGCTCGGTACGGTGAAGGCATGTAACGCAAGAGGCAATCATCCGAAGGGCAAAAAGATAAGCGGGAGAGATGAGCAACAAAAGAAAACATACAACAGCAGGTATTCGCTGGTCGTCACCGACCCAACTACTAATCCGCCCCTCAAAGGCTTGACTATGGGAGAGCGGACGGGATCCCGTATATTCCTTTGGGTATGGTCGTATGTGACAGTTGACGCTATCATGAGGGCTATATGCCCTACCATTGCGATACTAAACAAAGTAGCAAAAAACATACAACAGCGGGTATTCGCTGGTCGTCACCGACCCAACTACTAATCCACCCCTCAGAAGCTTATCTATGGGAGAGCGGACGGGATCCCGAGTTCTCTTCTGGGTATGGTCGTATGTGGTGGTTGAGGCTAGGATGAGGGTTATATACCCTACCCAGGCCCACCCCAAAATAACGGAAAAGGATATACAACAGGGGGCATTTGTTCTGATTGATGCACCCTTCGGAGCCTCATCCATGGAAGAGCCATCATCCCAAGTCTTTCTCTAGATATGATCGTATGTCATTGTCTGGGCTGTTATTTCATTCTTGTATATGGCTTGAGTACACACATCAGCAGCCTTCCAGAATGTGAATTATGATTGGTGAAATTGGCTGATGGCAAAGATTGCGCTACGCCTAAATAGGATACCGGAAGTTAATTGGCCATTCTCATGAAATCAATGGAGAATTACCCAAATTGCTCATCACCCACTAGGCTTTATTAGGCTACCAGAAGTTGATTGGTTGAAGTCAAATCCGGATGGGTAGGTTTGCATAGAGGTGTCATTCCATCTCAGATTCTCAGCTTTAGTTTTCGCCGATAATGGAAATAACTCGTAAATTCCGAATCTCGTCTTTGAGAAATATGGCCTATCGACGTATAAAACAAAACGCTGACTACAACTCGACCTCTTAAACCAATAACCTTGCTTCTCCACTCTATAAATCCCATAACACACCATACATCATACACGATGGCTGATTTCTGGACCGAAGAAGTCATCGCAGACCAGAAGAGAGATCTTCCCATTCTCGCCACCAAGGAGAACACCGCCGGCGGAACCTACATCGTGACAGGTGCCAACTCCGGACTCGGCCTTGAAGCTGCTAAGCATTATGTCGCTCTAGGTGCTGCAAAGGTCATCCTGGCCGTCAGAAATCTGGCTTCCGGTGAGAAGGCTAAGGCCGAAATCGAGGCTGCTACCTCGACCTCTGGAATTGCCGAGGTCTGGCATCTGGATCTGTCGAGCTACGACTCTGTCAAGGCCTTTGCATCCAAGGCTACCGACGAACTCGAGAGGATTGATGCCGTAATTGAGAATGCGGGAGTTGCTCTAGATCAATTTGTTCTGGCAGAGGGACACGAGAGCAGCGTGACAATCAACGTCTACAGCACCTTTTTGCTGGGAATTCTGCTTCTCCCCAAGCTAAGAGAGAGCGCTGCCAAGTTTGGAACTCTCCCCCATCTAGTCATTGTGAGCAGTGGTGGAGCCGTGCGGGCCAAGCCGGTTTTCATGAGCCTCAAGGATGACCTGTTCACAAAGATGGATGACGAGAAGAACGGGATGATGGGCAGGCAAGTTGCTAACACCAACATCTGGTAAAATTCGAATTACGAAAATGTACCTAACAACATTTGAACACTAGATATCCTCTCACCAAGCTGATCGAGATCTATGCCGGTCGCTACCTTGCTAGTCTGGCTCCCGTGGAGCGTACTGGCGTCGTCATCAACTACCTCGATCCTGGCTTGTGCTACACCAATCTAACCTCCCACGTAGACCCAAAGCTACGCGACGTAATTGAGAATGAACGCAACAACTATTTCGGAAGAACCCCTGAGATGGGAAGCCGCACCCTTATTGCGGCAGCGGTTCAAGGAAAGGAGAGTCACGGTCGCCTATCTGGATCTTGCCTCATCCAAGAGTAAGTCATCCATCCTTCCACTGAACAAAGAATTTACTGCTAATGGGTTTTCTAATCAGCCACCGTGTCCCTGAGTATATCACAGATAGCGAAGGTCAAGTTGAGCAGAAGAAGATCTGGGAGGGCATTGCTGCGGAACTAAACCGAGTCGTTCCCGGGTGCGTTGACAAGGCGCTGGCATAGACTTGAAATTACGAGTGCAAAAATTCGTACACTATCTTTTTATTGAAATTCATATTTGAATCATTTATAAAATTATCCCCATGGAATTGTTTCCACTGTTCTTTTATGCTCAAAACTTCTCTCTTTTGACATGCTCCATAATCGCTTAGCCGTCTTGTTATGAATTGATGGGATCCAGGGAAAGTCCATCAGAAGTTCTTCGACACCACCCCATCCGTCAAGGTTCAAAGCGTAACTAACTTCGGCAAGCCGCGGTATAAGCCAGTACTCATCATCCTGGTTGAAAAGTACGTGCCCTCCGATCAGAGCAGACCAGAGAGCGAGCTTTTGGAAATGGTATCCTTCAATAGGTGCTTCCTGGATGGCCTTCCGGAGTGAGCTCGTAGCAGCCTTGAAATTGGATGCTCTACCTGCAAGTCCTCGTAGAAACGTCGTTAAAAAGCCTATCAAAGCCAAATGCAACAAACTTTCGTAGGTTGTGACCAGTTTGGCTTGGTCTAACGGGCGAGTTTCAAGCAGACGAAATCCCAAGAATATTATCATGTCGTGGAACGGGTAGATCTGAAGCTTCGTCGGACATGGCGTGCGACCACTCACAAATGCTGCTAAGCTCATGATGTCTAAGAAACTTGCCTGAAGGGAGTCGTCCAATCCCACAGTAATCTTTTGGCTCTTGTGATAGCTTTGTCTATCTTTCTTGTATAGATTCCGTAGCCATAAGGTCACCCCCTGGCTAGGCAGGTCTTCTGCACGGAAGGTGGTCGCGGTTCCGAAGTAAAGAGCGATTTCGAGGTCCGCTCTGTCGATTGTATTAGATGATGTTCAAATAGACTAGTATTTGAAGGGACTTGCCTGAAAAGTTTCTGCATGAGAGCTGCTTGATCTCGAAATCCAGCAATTCCACCCCTAAGAAGAGCTAGACGGTTCAGTCCCTGGACATGTACCAGAGCTTCCTCGTACTTCTCCTGAACACGCTCAAACTGAGATAATCCGATAATAGCTATCAGAGTCGAATTTTCTAAAGCATATCGTCCTGATAGTCTCTCATTGACGAGATGCAGTGATCGTGAGAAATGGCGTAGGATTTCTGGATCCGTACCACTTCTCGCGGCGTCGGGCTCAAATATCGCAATGGCGCATGCCACATTGGAATGAAAATCTATGTTGTCTGAGTCAAATGCTCGCTATTCACGGCTTCGAGATCCAATACTCACAGGCTTCATTTGTAAATGTATTTTGAACCCACATTGATCGGACTGGGATTCGTGTATCAAGTCTCCCACCCAGGTCTCCCGACATTATGCTGTGAGTGATCTGACACAAGACTATTTCACATTAGGACGCTGAACGGAAAACATCGTAATTGTTTATTTTTTCATACAATTTCTCACGTGGCTTCTGGATCTTGCTGAAAGCTCTCCAGGAAATGTCATGAAATCTCCAACTGGTAGTCTAAGTGGTGGTATAGAATCATGGATCAAGCTGGAAGATTCGGATTCATTAAATTCTGGGTCGCAACGAATGTTTTTGAGCAAGGGCTTGATCAAGGCTGGTTTCGTAGGCTTGCGTCGTAATTGTGCCAAATGAGACGATCGCTTCTTGCCGACCTTGTGGCCCTTGGAGGCATGGCTACGAATCAGCTTTCTTGCGCCTCGGTCTATGCCGGTATTATTGTCGATGAACTGGAAATTCATGGTTGTAGGGATTCGAGGCACGGTGGTTCCCTTGCCGTCTGCAGAGAACAATGGGTGAGCTCATGATGTTGGCGATCTTCCGTGCTTACGGAAGGAGATAATTCCACCACATATGATCGGAATTAGCGGACTTTAGGGAGATGTGGCTGGTATTTAGTTTAGGTAGCCTTCTCGTAACCTTCACAGTGGAGCCTACACAACCAAACAGCCTCAATCAACGTATTTGAGCATAACTCGATCAGAAACCATTATATTTTCTAATATATAAAAAGATAAAGGTATTCATAGCTTCTTCTTTGACCTCCAAATCCAAGTTTGACCACGTTTCCGGCGAAATAGCTTCCCTTTGAGAATCATTCCCACCACTGGGCATTCTTGTAGCTGAACGACTTAAGGATTGTGCTAAGCCTAGAATTGTTTTCTTCCTCTGCCTTCACAAGTCTATTCTGGCCTTGAACGCCATCTCCCTTCCCTTTCATCCAATCATGCTCATTCGTTTCTCCCAATGCTGCTGCAGGGGGGATATATTCAGTTGAGCAACTCGTATCCGAGCTACAGCAAGCATTGAATTCTCTGCTACTTGAACACTCGCACTAAGATGGACCGAGGCCACGAGATTAAACTTCTGCATTCTCATCCAGTCTGACATGGGGTCCCGGTCTGGTGGAAACTGAAATTTCCACGTCTTCTCGTCATAGATGGTTCTCCTTGGGTTGCCAGATTTACGGCCACTGTTACTTGAATCATGGGCAACTTTTGCACCAACGATTTTCGTGCACCATTCCGTGCTCCCCTCTCGGACTCGCACCCCGAAAAAGATCTTACAGGCCATTCTATCCCCAGTATGGTCTTTCCTACTAAGCCCCTCGGACGTTTCAATGGTCAAAAAGCGTCCATAATATCCGGCCTCCCCAGACAGGCCCAGACTCAGAATGCCAGACTCGAGTCTAGGCGAAGAAACGGTGAAAGACTGAGGCAAAGTCTCGCAGCAGTCCATTGTCAGAAGAACCCCGAATTCCGGGTACTTATGTACAATATGCTTGAGCGGCCAACGGTCTCTGCTCCCGGCGATGTACATGCTTCTCTTCAGCAGACCAGGATTCCAAAATATCGGCACTGGTCCCGGAAGTATACGGCTTCTTCTGAAGCGATCATTGCCGGATGTCTTGTGAAAGAGCAACGCTACTTGATGACTGGGTGAATTCGACCTGACGTCTAAAACAGCCAGGAGATTTTCAAATGCCTCAATAGGCCCAGCTCTCTCCTTTATCAGATTGAGAACTGGCAGACTGATCGATAGGCCGGCGTTGGTCATGATGTATGGGGCAGACTCATTACTCCATGAGTTTTGGGAATAGTTCCCAGCATCTTTGAATGTCCTCGGCGATGGAGAGAGAATACTAGCCCAATCCGCTGGAACATATTGATCATCCCAGGTCCAGCAGAAGATGGTCTGGTCATTGGATACCCGTATGATTTCTTCTTGCAGCCGGATAAAGGCCTTTTCACCCTCACCATACAGAAGAGGCATGTTGATGTCGAATATTCCAAACATGCAATACGCCAGGTCTTCCACTCTCGTAGTCTGTCGATTGGACAGCCATGACATGCGTTTTCCAATGCTGGCAGCGGATAGGTCGCTGCCCAGATACACCTCCTCGATCCCAGTCACAACGGAAATTTCGCTGGCGAGCTCATCTCTCGACCCAATCATTGACCAATCTTGAGCGAAAAAGCACAAGGCTGTAGGTGCAAGCAGCTCCTGTAAGGTCCAGCCTCTAGTGAACCATCGAGATGAGCGAAAATTGCACAACGGATCGTCGTCGTTTGAATCGATGGGCGGTACATCCGCAAGGTAGGCGTAACAAACTGCCGAGTTCTTGTACCAGGAGAACATTGAGTTGATTGCTTCCGCTAGCTCTGTGGAGCTTGTCTTGTCGATGCAATTTGTGTCACACCAGAGGTGCCCGAAGCCATCTATCCGGGCTTGCTTGCATGACCGTAGGATTTTGTCGTATCGCTCCGTGTTCTCCATCTCCTCCCCATTCATTTGCCAATCTTGGAACGTCACCTCGCGACCACCCCATGTGTGAGACAGAATCGCATATTTGGGAGGGTCGTTGTAGTACTCTTCAAGTTCATGAGTTTTGACATTGATAAGCCTCATAATTCCGAGTTTCAAAATGAGGTTGGGTGATTTGAACCGGTCAAGGGGTAGGTTTAATTGTGCTGTGGGCAATTGGTGTCCATGAAGCGATTCATCAATTGTAAATCCATGATTGTCGACAGTTATGGGACCAAGCTTCTAACACAAAGACGTGCAGAGCCTGATTTATGAGAGACGGGTGAACAGGGGTATACCGTGATTGAGGCTGAGCGATCTACGCCTCAAATGATGTGACCCTGCGATGCACGAGAACGTCATTAGTGTCCCATATTTGGCTCTAAAGCGCGAAAGCACTTTTGATGGATGATTTTTGGTGTTCATCCCAGTATACGGTGGAGAAATAAGCTCGATGTTCCCAGAAGAAAGCACCCAGTGTTGCAATAATTCACTCTACATGCTCCTAACAGAACAGGCATCATCCAGCAGCTATAGCGTGTCACTTCTAAACGCAGATGCAGAGTCTAGATGTCAATATGAAATGTCTCTACTGCTGAGAATCAAAAGACGGGTCCTCCAGAGCTTTCAGAGCGACACCATCTACCGCAGAAATCGTTGCTCAGAAAAGCTCAGTCGGTCCTCAAGTGCTTCAATGCGCCAACTCCTCGTCAAATACTCTACCCACTCAGATTCAAGAGTAATTCTCTTCACTACCCCACGAAGCACCGCATCACGGCCTACTAGTACCGCCTCCTGCAGTGTATATTTCATATCTTTCCTAGCGTTCTTCCTCATTCTCTCATGCAAGAGAAACAACAGCAGCATTTCCGAACTTCCGGAACGAGCAACCACCCGTAAGGCCTGTTGAAATACATGAGGCGAAAGGTCTCTGCGATCAAGAAGCAGCCTGGCCATCTCCACATAGTTCCTGGTTACTAGCTTCTTAAGAACAGTAGACGCGTACCCTTCAAGATTGAGATTCAGATCCTTGCGCTCGAGAAGCAGCTTTGCAGTTTCGATCTGGTTGGCCAATGCAGCCCAGACAATTGGCGGTGAGTGAAGCGTACCGTGGGAGTAGTTCACATCCACGTCCTCGCGATTTAAAATCATACGGACCAAGGATGTGTGGCCCAGTTCTGCGGCGCGCGCAAGGGCAGACTTGTTGTGAATAACCAGTCTGTTCGGGTCAATTCCGTAGCGGTCCAGAAGACGCGCGGTGATGGTAGCCGAGCCCCCATTAATGGCGTAAAACGCCAGTGATTGCTTTCCATCACCAACTTCTGGCTCAATATCTTGGCGGTCAACAAATAGGCGAACTATTTCCTCATGCCCCCCTCTGGCGGCCGCCTTCAGCGGCGTTTCCTTCCAGTCGGTTTCAGGATCCGGATCGACATCTTCTCTTCAGAGAAGATCTCTCACAATGTTGGTCCATCCTCGACGAGCAGCCCACAGCAGTATCGTCGCTCCGCCTTTCCCTTTAAAGCCCACTGGGGCATTTGGTAACCCCAGGAGAAACTCGGCTATTTGAGGGCGATCTGCTTGGCCTGCGAAGAGCAAAAGAGGCGTTACCTCACCATCAATGATGGGAACCGTATCAATCTCATTTTCCACTAGGGCCCTCACTGAATTCACTTTGTTGCATAAAACAGCACAACGAATGGCAGTACCAAATACGCGGTGTCTGTAGTCCAAACTAACTCCACTCCTCATGAGTGATTCTATAGCACAAGCGCTTCCTACTGCGGCAGCGAGTTGCAACGCCCCATAGAAAAGCCCAGGTCTTTCTTCCCTTGTCCAGGCCTGACCATGTTGTCGTCGACGGTAAAACCAAAGGTTGTAGAAGGAAGGATCTGGAGTGGCATGAAGGATGAGTTTGATGAAAACGGTCCTCGGATCGTTTGACGAAACAATAGCATTGCAGATGGCCTCAAGGCTATCATCCTCGCAGAGACTAGGATCATATTGACTCTCCGTAAAGAAGGAGGATGCATCAAGTATGAAAGCAAAAGCACCAGGTGATTTATCCCGCCTCAGAGTTTTGGCCTTCTCTACTAACAGCCATTTAACAATGGGACGTGTCATCAATCTATCGTTTTGGCGTATAACCGTTAGATCTACCATTGGAAATGCGATACGGGAGATGACAGCGTCAAATTGACCTAAAGACACATTAGCGGTATCGCATCTATCGCTACATGTACTAACAGGACATACGGGAAATGAGTCTCATTCCGACAAGTTCATTCCTGCCACATAGAGACCGATCTGGGCCACAAATTTCATCGACAATTTGTGTCGTGATCTCGACCGGGAGGGTTTTCAGTGACATCTTGGGTATGCGCCCAGCTCTGATATGATCCGTTGTGCGTAGACTGGGTAATTTGAAGACGTATTTAACGTCTTTTATAGCCGCAAAATCGTCCCTGCCGCCTCCAGATCCTGGAGTTGTAGAGTTTATGATTTTGTCTGAGTCAGAGGTAAGATTGACTCATCCAAACCTCATCTCAACCTGTCGGCTGAGTTTGACGGTGATTGGCTAATGTTGATGAAGGACAGGGGGTAGATCAGCTCAACCATTTTTGACTACCCTGTACCTCTTGTAGTTGTTGTATCTTCACGATGGATTCATGTCTTGTCTAATTTTGCAAACAATCTAAATGGAAAGATCATTGAGTTTCTAAGTTAAACAAGTGAAACCTGCTGTTTCGAAAAAAAAACCGGATGAGAGTTTAAGTATAAAGTAAAAACAGTAACAGAAGATGCCAGACCCGACATCTCACCATAGTGAATACAAGAGGCAAAAAATCCAGTAGCCTAAGGCTGCAGCCACGCAGAAGGAAAACCCTGTAACCTGATGTTTCAATGTTATGATCAAAAAGATGCGAGGACTCAGAATGAAGCTGTGCATGTAGTTGCAAACTTCCAAGCAACACCAACAAATGCTGTGATGAAAACTCCTCGCCTACGATCTCGAGCCAATCAGATAGCCTGTGGCCCTACCGTACAAAGAGGCTGCCACCGCCGCCCACCGAAAGCACTCATTTACCAACAACGCCTAGTTGAATGAAATTGGCTCAACTAGTCTGGTCTGGCTACATGGTAGGGGTGAGATCCGCTTAAGATGCGGATCTCAGATTGGTCAAAAGGAAGGGAACGGGCCAGCAAAAAAATTTGCTAGTGGGCCTCAAAACATCCACCAACATAGCAGAATTTCCAAGCCAGCAAAAACGCAACCATCTGAGGATCCAGATGACTTGTTGGACGAACAGGGAATCGAACCCTGGACCACTCCCAGACACTCAGAGACTGAAATATGCTAAGGGAGTATTATACCACTAAACCATTCGCCCTGGATGAGGTTGATGACGGACATGCAAGTTGAGGTTCATGGAGGTGGCGCAGAAGGGAAGAACAAAAGGAAAGCAGCTGTCAAGCTTTGCTTCAGACGGAGGGCCTCTTTTTGTCGCCTAGACGTAGAAGGAGCGGCAAATATGAACGAGCAAATTTCTTAGCTGGATTCTCTTCACTTACCTCTTGGAATTCGTGGAGGATAGTAGAGAAGCGGTCCTTGGACACTAGGCATTGGATCATCGTCCTGTGCGCAGTTCATCAGGAGGCATGATGTGATGAAATTTGGATGACCCAAAGGCCCTTCGCCATTTGAACGATAGAAACTGAATCATCAGCATTCCGCCAACAGTTCCAGAGTGGTTTTGAACAAGATCATAGCTAAGGGAGGTGAGTGATTCAGAATCCAAGACAGTTCACTACCACGTGGCGTGCTAGAATGTGACATGGTAAAGACACTTACGGCCTTTTCTCTGTCTAAGAATCTTCTCCCTGTACAAAGATATTTACTAAAGGAGCCTTACCAAGTCCTGCCTCGTTGATTAATCTATCTCCTCAAATATTAGCGTAAGTAGAAGAGTTCAATAAAAGCCAGGGAAGTATCGCAAACGTACAAAATGGCATGGAATGGATTCTAGTGCTGATACGATTGTCATTCCTTCTGCCCAGAGATGCATTTCTACACTCCAAAGATTTGTGTGGGTCTTGCTCTCATACTACTGAGATATGCGTGTCATCCAATGCTCTGATCTTTCCTAAATAAGGTTATTTCTGTGTTGGAAGGTGAACACGAAACTAGCACTTGGGTAATGGGCAGGCAACAGAAGATTATCTCCAATAGATGTGCCTTGTATTGTTTCACAAGCACTTGCCAGGTCGTCCGGGGAAAAGTTGAGGTGGTATGCATCGAGGAAGTGATCGTCAGGAGAGACCATACGTATTATTTATCGAGGGAAAGGAGAACCAACGGCGACTTGAACTATACATACGCCGTCAGGGCCATGTAGTTGCTCCAGTACTCATTCTCAGTTTGTGCGGCCTTCATAAGAATTCATTGATTTGGGAATATCTCGCCTCTCGAACCACCTCCAATTCCCCCCCTTTCCCCATGCCTTGAGGATTTGATATTTGCCATCTTAAAATGCTTTCCTACAAGACTCTTTTGATAGCTCTGGTTGGCAGCCTGATAGTTGCGGCTTCTTTCGATGCACAAGACGAGCTTTTCTTCTCACCTTCCCAGGTGTGGCTGTATAGTGTCTCCAGCCGCCGAACTGCACCTACATCCACCGGTGTGGTATCCAAGGCCTCCACTTCTGGATATAGAGACACCATCACCACTCTCCTCACATTCATATACCCGCCGGAGGTTGATGGATTGAAGTGTCAATTCGGGTTTGATCTGGATCTAGACTCTACCGTTGGTGGCAGCGCCAAGCTTGACCTCTTCTCCAGCATCAGGCCGCTAAGATCGAATTCCACTGTCTTCTGGAGCCGCGGTAACCAGCGGGGCGTCCAACTCGGCCGTCTCTCCGTTTCTCGTGGCGTTTCTGCGACCTGGGATGCTACTTATAACGAGTACCTGACGGAGAAGACCGACTGCAAAGCCCCTGGAACCGTCGAGGGCTTTGAACTAGTCGGTGTTTATGATAACGATTTAGTTTCTTGGAATCCTTCCACATCAGGCCTTAGAATTATTTATACGTCTTAAGTGTTAAGCGGCTGTGGTGTGGTGGATTGATATGAGATGGACGATGTCTTGGCTAGTCATCGCAAATTAAGCATCCCTTTAAATTGTAACCCGACTCAAAGACTTAGTAATGAAGAGTGAATGGTATATCATTACGCAATTTAATTTCTGATCGTCTTGGTATTGCTCAAGCATCACTTGAAGCATAAAGAGACTAAAATCTAAAGTCTATCGCGCTACTTGATGATACAATCATTATTCTTGAATCACAGAGGTCCGGGGTTCGTCCATAATAATTTGTAACATTAAGTAGCTTATTGATACCGAAAAATAGCTCATGTCTTTTCAGGTGATCTCCTTCCTCATTTTCACTAGAGGGTACTTGCATAAGCTGAGCTGACATACAACCGAGGTGCCGTGGGTAAATGAGCTACCACTCCCTTTGTGAGAAGAGTTGGGCAAATACAATTGGGCATCCATACCGAGTGTCTCCAGGAATCACCCTATTATGATGCACATGCCTAGTCGATTCCGACCCTGACTCTCGGTCCCGGCACATCATCATGGTTATTTCATTATACCGAGAGGGGTGATCTTCTTTGTTAATTTTGGGTGCAAATGTAACCTCCTCCACCTTGCCGTTGCAGAAGGTGGCACTATGACCATTGCAAATCCCCATGGGGAATCTCGGCCCCATTATGATTGGCACATCCTCTGTGGTCATTTGATGATTGTTATGGAGCAAGCTCATAGCCTATACCACAACCACACTTGGGATACATCAAAACGAGCTGATCGTCGCTCTCCGCTCTGCCGATTATTCGAGTGTCGGGGGAGAAGCCACCGAGCCTGGCTTCTTTGTCCCATATGCCCGAGTTGTCTCGGGGCATATAAAGGGTGCTTGTTGACCTGCAAATACAGCAACGATATGATCAACCCGGACCTCGGGAAAGTCTAAACTAGATTGATAAGCCCCTCATCTTTCAAAATGTCCGTTTCAATATCTCGAGTCTTGTTTGAACATCACTATCCAACGGCGCAAGGCATCGGTGAAAGCGAGCCCCGAGTGTCGTGGAGGTTTGCCGGCAACTCCCCTTCCTGGGAACAGAAGTCATACGATCTTGAGATTACTCGGGATTCAGATGGAGTTCCACGACTTTACAATGTCAATTCGTCGGACTCGGTGTACGTGCCGTGGCCAGATGAGCCTCTTGGCACCGCTGAGCTTGCATCAGTTCGGGTTCGTGCCTATGGTGGGAGTGATGATTTGTCTTCTCCCACTGAATGGTCAGAAGTGGTAACGGTAGAGACTGGCCTCCTCGATGGGGACTGGGGCGGAGCCGTTTCCATCGCAGCAGAGTACACCCAACCAAGCGATGCTCCTCTGAGGCCGCTTTACTTCAGGAAATCCTTCCACCTTGAGTCGGAGGTCAAGTCTGCACGACTGTACATCACTGCACATGGCGTGTACAAAGCAGAGATCAACGGTCGGGCCGTTGGTGACATAGTTCTTGCCCCTGGCATACAGTCGTACTGGAATCGACTTGTCTATGATACTTACGATGTGACTGATAAGCTCAAGGCCGGGGACAACGTCATCGGTGCCCTCGTGGGGGAAGGATGGTACAGTGGCCGGTACGGGTTCTCAAACACCCGACACCATTGGGGTGACCAGCAGGGCTTGTTATCTCTCTTGGTTATTCAGCTCGAAGATGGCAGCGAGGTCAAGATACCCAGTGATACTAGCTGGGAAGCAATAGACGGTCCAGTCATCACTTCGGAAATTTATGATGGAGAAGTTTATGATGCACGATTGGAAAAGGGTATTGCCGGCTGGTCATCTCCAGGCTTCGAAACGAATCAGACACTCCCTACTTACAAATTCGAGCCAAGGCATGGGAAGCTTACCCCTCTAGACAGCTCCCCCCTGCGTCGCATCCAGGAGGTGAAGCCTGTCAGTGTTTTCAAGTCTCCAGCAGGAAAGACTCTAGTTGACTTTGGCCAAAATCTTGTGGGTTGGCTGAGGCTCAAGGTCCAAGGCCCAGCAGGGTCTTTGATCACCATACGACATGCTGAGGTCTTGGATGAAGGGGAGATTGGTATCCGACCACTTCGCACCGCCTTGGCGCGACTCAACATCACCTTGGGTGAGGATGTATTGGATTTCGAACCTTCTTTCACCTACTTTGGCTTCCGGTATATCCAGGTCGAGGGCTGGCCCGAGGGCTACCCGATCGACGAAGAAAGTGTCAAAGCCATAGTGATCCATAGCGACATGGAAAGAACCGGGTGGTTGGAGACATCCCACGAGATGCTCAATCAGTTCCACCAAAACACAGTTTGGTCGATGAAGGGGAATTTCTTTTCTATTCCTACTGATTGCCCCCAGCGCGATGAACGACTTGGCTGGACTGGAGACGCAACTGTATTTGCGCCCGCTGCTAATTTCCTCCATGACACTGCGGGTTTTTGGAGGGGGTGGCATCGAGACGTCTGGTCTGAGATGCAAAATCTGGGACCTGAAGACCGTGATATAGCTCCATTCTTCATCCCTTACCTCCCGCCAACAGAGGCACCTACGGCGGCTGCCGTATGGGGTGACGTCGCCGTGTCGGGCCCCTTTGAGTTGTGGCAAACTACAGGCGATCCTATCGTATTGGAAGAGCAGTTTGCTCAGTCTCAGGCTTGGCTAGGCACTGGCATCCCCCGAAACGACCGAGGCTTGTGGGCGCTCGATTCCTTCGGATTTGGAGACTGGCTTGACCCAACAGCACCACCGGAGAGCCCAGGGCAAGCACTAACTCACAATATTCTCGTGGCTGATTCTTATCTCATAAGGATGACTGAGATGGTAGCCAATATGAGTCAAGCCCTTGGGAAAGATGATCTGGCCCAACAATACCGCGAGGAGAGGCAGAAGTTGGTCGGGGAGTATCAGAAGTTCTGGATGAATGACGGCGGTGAGCTGGCCAATAGAAGTCAGACGGCATATTCCTTGGCTCTCAACTTTGAGATATACACGGATGAGGAGAAGAAAGCAGCTGCCAGTCAAACTCTTCGAGATATCATCGAGGAAAACAACTACCTGGTTGGAACTGGATTTGCAGGAACTCCCGCTCTGGGGTTTGCGCTGCGCAAGATCGGGGCCGTAGAAGACATGTACGCAATGCTTCTGCAGACTGAAGTCCCCTCGTGGCTCTACCAGGTCAAGATGGGCGCCACTACCACTTGGGAACGATGGGACAGCATGCTTGCAGATGGAACAATCAACCCAGGCGAAATGACGAGTTTCAATCACTACGCGTTCGGCGGCGTTGCAAACTGGATGCACCAGGTCATTGGCGGTCTTGCCCCTCAAGAGCCTGGATGGAAAAAGATTCTCGTCGCCCCAGTCCCCGGAGGAGGACTCACCAAAGCCAATTGTACCTATCTGAGTCCTTATGGGCTCATCAATAGCCAGTGGTGGATTGAGGGTGGCTTCCATTTGAACGTTGAAGTTCCCCCTAACTCAAAGGCACATGTTGTCCTCCCGAACGGGGACGAATTCGATGTGCTCTCTGGATCTCATGAGTTCCATGATCCCAATTATGAAACAACATAGGAATATAACCAGGGTTGTAGGTAGATAGAGGGAGATTGTCTACTAAATTTTTTATGAGGCTTGTTGGCTGGCAGATATACAATCTCGTTGATCAATGTTTACACACTTCGTGAAAAACCTAGCCCCCAGGCCTTCTTCTGGCCTTCTGATTTATGGAGCCTTCACAGCTATTGATGTTCCAAAAGTATTCTAAGATCTAAATCAATACTAGCTTGCTGACTAGAGACCCAGCATGGCAAATGCCGTGAACTTGGCTGTGCCCCATGGGAGCAGGTAGTCCCTGTAATTAACCAAGAAAGGTCTCCTGAACATCCGAACATCACGCGTGGCGTGAATATATAAATTTGTATTTTCTAGGTGTTGATTGACATAATCAGCTCACAACATCCCCGCTGCTGCCTAGTTGAATTACCACCACAAACCTCTCCATTCACGCAACCTCTAATTATCGCATCCCTTCATCTATTCAAAGTATCTCAAAATGGCGTGGACTGCATCCGCTATTCCCGAGCAAGAATTCTGCGAGCCGTCGCCTGATCTAGATTCGAAGGCGGAAAAACTAGCGGAGAAGATTCGCCAAAGCAAACACTTCATTGCCTTCACCGGAGCAGGCATCTCGACATCAGCTGGTGCGTGAATCGTCCAAATCCAGTGAAAATGGGATTTATCAAATTTCTAATTTCTGCTGCCAGGCATTCCTGATTTTCGCGGTCCTGATGGAAACTGGACTCTCAGAGCCCAAGGCAAGACAAGAACAGGCCCAACGACCAACACTCTCCAAGCGATCCCAACTTTGACACATATGGCCCTCGTCGAGCTGCAAAATCGAGGATTCCTCAAATATCTGATTAGCCAGAATTGCGATGGTTTGCACCGAAGGAGTGGTATCTTACCGGTTAGTAACCCAATCAACTCTTTCAAGGGGCGATCATTGGTCTCACATCTGTCATCGAACAGGAGCATTTAGCAGAGCTTCATGGCAACAGTAACCGTGAATACTGCAAGAGCTGCGGAAAGGACTACATCCGAGGTACGAATGGGATATATTGAATTTTCACAGTTTCTGACTGCAAAATATCCGTCCAATTCTTATCATCGAACAGATTTCCGCGCGGTGGCGACCTACGAAAAATCAGACACCGATCACCGCACCGGGCGCAAGTGTGCGTGCGGTGATGATCTCCACGATAGCATCATAAATTTTGGTGAACCTCTGCCAGAGATCCCGCTGGACCTGGCACACCATCATGCCAAATTGACTGATCTCTGTCTGGTTCTCGGTTCGTCGCTCACCGTGACGCCCGCCTGCGAGATTCCCGAGTCTGTCGCTCTTCGTCGGCCCAGGCGATCTCTAGAGCCGGCTCTGGTCATCTGTAACCTGCAGAAGACGCCACAGGACGAACTCTCACAGATACGAGTATTTTCGAAAACGGACGACTTAATGGCCAGAGTCATGGATAAATTAGGGATCCCCGTCCCGTCGTTTATTCTCCGCAGACAGATCAATATTGCCGTCGAGGTGAACGGCAGAGGGAAGTGCCAAGTCATTGTTCTCGGGGTCGATACTGACGGCACGCCAGTGTCGTTTCTTCGAAGCGTCAGACTTCTCACTCACCGCCGCGTTTTGACGAAGGAACCGTTCTGTTTCACGCCGCATGGGGGGATCGAAACGGGGACCAAGCTGGACTTTGAGTTTGAGTTTATGGGTCATTACTGCGAACCCGAGTTGATGCTCACGCACGAGTACAGTGGCGATGCTGGCCAGAGTTTGTACCTGCTCGAATACGACCCTAGCACTGGGCGGTGGACCGTTGCAAAGGATGGAGGGGAGTTGCGAAATGAATGATCATCCAACGGAGAAATACACGTCCCGTGCGTAGATTTTCAATGGCAAGTCAAGCTTACAATGCAACAGAAATAGCTCAATTGTATCATTAACGCTCGTCATTTAACTCATGCTTCTATAATTGGTATCGTATCATATATTGCCTGTCTCCTCAGTCGTGACGCCCTTCTTTGTTCTTATTTTTCAACCGGTCCTTCACCATCCCACTTATCGCACCGAGATGTCCCTCCGCGTTCCCCCACCTCATCTTCTTAGGAGGAGGGCCTGAAGGCGCCGGGTACTTGTTAGGCTGGCCGCCGGCAGATGCGTGAGAATTGAGCTTGTTGGTGAGCTTGTTGAGCACGTTCCCACCACCAGACTGCGGGCGAGTTGGAAGCTCGGGAGGGATTTCATCGTCTGGACCGTAATAACCGTGATACTCTGATCGTGATTCGCGACCGCCATGACGACCGGATGGTCTTGAGCTGTTCCGTGCGTCCTCCTCGGCTTGTAACCTGGCCGCCATAGCAGCATCGCTATCCGTTGTCCCGCCTTGCAGCCTAGCTGCCAGAGCAGCGTCGCTCTCCATCGTGCCGTTCTGCAGCCTGGCTGCTAATGCTGCGTCGCTTTCATAGGTCCCGTTTTGCAGGCTGGCGGCCAGCGCTGCGTCGCTCTCCAGTGATTGGTTCTGGGGTCGGCCTGCCAAAGCAAAATCGTTGTTTTCTGATTCATTTTGTAGTCTCAAGGCTAGGGCCGCGTCGCTTTCCAGCGAATGGCTTTGGCTATGGCTTTGGCTGTGATTGCCGCTTGGTGTATGGGAGTTTTCCTCAGCCTGCAACCTCGCGGCAAGCTCGGCATCCTGGTCATATTGCGACGGGTTTGGGGACTCATGAGGGGATAAAACAGGGGTTGTCTAGCGTCAGAATTAGCATAGGTCAGCGTCTGGGTGAGGGCTTTAGGGAGGGCGACTCATACCCCAGGGAATTGCCATTGCGAGGCTCCTGTTTGGATGTTTGCAAAATACCTGAGGATAGTCAGCGGGAGCAGGTACAGGACAATTTGAATAGAGAACCCAGACGTACCATGCGTTGTAGTTGTTATCCCATTCTGCAACCCAGCCGGCTGGCAGTGGCGGCATTCCAGGGGGCGGAGCCCAGTTTACATTATTAGGGGGCATGTTCTGCATTTTGATGTATTTAGATGAGACTAAGAAAGGAGAAATATGCAATAAAGCCACGAGAATGCCAGTGTGGCAGCAACAGAGAGTATCGTATATAAGTACTGCCGGTGTGGCTCAATCAAGGCTGCGTGTAGACCGACACATCATCAGTGCCGGCGTCGTCATCGCTCATGCAGCGCATCACAGTCGAGCGAGGCGGAGTATTTCCAACGCCCCATCGAGTCTCTGTATTGCCACATCGCAGACCAGGATGACGCTGATGCTGCGGGGGCTGTGTTCGGCCACTCCACGCCAGCCCTGCCGAGGATTAATTACTAAATTGACAACCAGAGGATCGATCATTCCGATGTCTCTTGTCTAGAGCATGATATTGCCATCTCTTGGCATTAATAGAGTCCGTGTGACACCCTCCCCTCCGCCTTGAAGCATTAGCAATTGCTTGCGCGTCGCAGCACCAGCACATCACGAAGCCGCGCCATATGCTAAATTTAATTGAGCCCGACACAAGTTTCCGCTATTTCTTTTTTTTGTCTCCAACTTTTGTTGAACAATGCAAGATCGTAGGACTCAACTTCTTCCTTACACTCCTCTACATCATCAACCCTGTATATTGAACATAGTCTATAGATATGCAACCACCTTTTGATAGCTTCTCCATTCTCAATAATAATAAATCACGATAAATCCACCTCCATGAAAGCCCCAGTCTAACACTTTCCTCCCTTCCATTTATGCTCAGTTGCTATTCCCACTCTCCTTTTCCGCCGCCTTTGCACTCCTCCAGCTCTGCCCTCTGGCTAGCACCAACCACAGAAGCAGTGTCCCGGCCGCCCAAACACCCGAGACAAATACTGAAGTCCATCCGATACTCAAGCGGTCAATCATTGGCGTCCCGATCGCAGCAGCTCCCGCACCCGTGAGGCAACGCGCAAGGTTGTTTGCCGCGACTGCGGTTGCAGGCGACTCGGCGTGCAAATCCACAATCAGAGTATTCAGATTGTTCAGTGCCCCGGAGAAAGATACAGCCAGAAAGAATAGTGAGACTTCGATGCCAGCCAGAGAAAGCTGTTTATCCATAACCCATCCGTATACTATCAGCATTGCGCAAGCGACGTATGTCAAGGGCAATGTGACCTCCAGGCGAATCCTTTCAATGGGGAGGGAGTTCAGATCTTGCTGATACTTGTTGTCCCATTCCAGTCCTGCCTTTTTCATATGACGCCGGAAGTTCCAGTCCATCAAATAACCCCCCGTGTACCGGTAGCAGATACTACCGAGGCCTAGAGGTAGAAAACACAAGCCGACAATGACCGACGAGTAGCCAAAGCGGGCTGACAGCTCAGTTGAAAAGGTTGTGAGCACAATATAGAAACCCCCGTACATAATTGCGCCAAATCCAAGCAAGGTCCCGGTTGTCTTATCCCCGAACATTATTAGAGAGGCAAAAGGATTGGGCCGCTTTCGTTTTGGCTTTTCCGTCGCAGAAGTCAGCCTTGTGCCATCTTGACCTTTGCTCCGACGTTGCTTCAGAAACCCAACCAAAGACATATTCCACCACGGCGGAGGGACACTCCCATTTCCGACGACACTTCTGCAGGTCTCGGGCAAGATGGCAAAAACCAACAGGAACAACACCCCGGAGAGAATCGTCAGGAACCAAAAGATCGAGCGCCACCCGAGATAGTGGTCAAGCAGTCCGCCAATAACGGGCCCCAGAGTAGGTCCAAGGGTGACGCCCATGGCAGCGTACCCAAGATATTTTCCTCGTTCTGCCCGGGTCACCATGTCGGCGGCTGTAGCGCTGCCCAGGGCGATTGTGGCGCTACTACCGCAGCTTTGGACGCATCGAAGGACAAGTAGTGCTGCGTAGCTATTCTGCAACGCCAGACCGATGTTGGCAGCGAGATAAATGACACAGCATATTACATATGCGGGACGACGACCGTAGGAATCGGAGAAATTGCCAATGAAGGACGGCGCAATGCCCTGAAAGATCTAGCAGACTGTAAGAACATGGTCTGGCGGTCGTATGCCAATGCATCACACTTACCAGATAAGTTGTTATCGTCAGGTTGACAAGTGAAATAGATACTTGCAGTGAATCCGCAATCGAGGTGAGGGCTGGAAGATACACTGAGCCAGATAGGGGAGATATAATGGCCAGGAACGAGACGAGAACAATGATCGAGGCTTTTTCACGGGCAGAGAAAATAGTGTACGGTGCCTCAGAAGCCTCTTCTGAAACAGGGCCTCCCTTCTCTTCCAACTTTTGGGTGGAAGATAGATCTGCAGCATCCATTGGCTGCTCGGGATGGTGTGTCGTTTTCTCATCAGTGGGATCGCTGCTCCGCACTCCGCCTGCAGACATGATGGCGTATTGTTCTGTATGGCCCTCACTTGAGATAGAAATATAGATGTGAGAATTGATATTCTTTCCCCTTTCTTCCTCTTGAAAAATCGAATACTTCAATGAAAGTATGTAAAAGGCAGCCGGCGATCGGTTTGGGGTATACCTCCAAGTTTGCCGATTCGGTGCCGAGGATACATCTTGCTCGGACTAAAGATGCTAAACATAAAGCGGAATGATGTAAAGACAACTCAAGCATGGACTTTAAAAAGCAAAGAAGATTTCAGGTGCTATTTCATCCAATCAGATGGGTCTAAGGGTGCGCGGATGTATTGGTTAAATCGACTTGCCCTCCTCCAAAATGTTGGTGGCCATGAGGCGATTTAGAACATGTTATATACGGTCGAGGTCAAACAAAGCTACAGTATCAGCCTTATGGCACGAAGGCCTCGAGATTCAACTTTTCCAGCCTTTCCAGCTACAACTCTCCTCCCCTCCTCCGTCCAAAACAGAATATATCATAAAATAGACGTTGAGTTCGGGCAGCTTAGCTGGTGGGCAGAGTTCCCGGATCTTCCTAGCCTCCATAGCAGTCACTGTATCAAATTTCATACTATATGGAAGAGAGCCGATACGCGATGGTGATCAGACTCTCCTGAAAGAGAGATGAAATCATCTCTTGAGTTCATGCGGCTAAGTCATGGTCTCTGTGATCGGGTGCATTGTCCTGTGCCAACACACTCCTCCATTGAATTGATTGAATCTCCTCTAGTTCAATTGTCGCGACCCATGGAGGGCGTCCATACACCAACATTCTGCTAGGTTCTACAGTCTGATGCCCGGAGCCAAGAGAAGAAGCTAGATGATGACGTGTTCTTTATCTCATGCACCCCTGCGCAATTGGCCATCATGCAGCCCTAAGACAAGCATGAGACCTCAGGTTGACTCCGTAATCCACGAACTAACCCAACTCTTGATACACCATCTTCACGACACAGCACAAAATAAGCAGGCTGTCATGCCTAGGTTACCACCGCCTCGGAGCACTAGCACGGCCTTTTACGTGTATGGCCCATCTACTGAACATCCAACCCCTCGCGCGACCTCAGAAAGATGTAGCCTCTGCTTGGTCTTTGGGCAAGATTTTGTGCGGCGGGATATCTTTAATCCCCCTGGAACAGAAAGTGACAGTTATACATACTATATCCACCATAGAAATTGGGAGTTACTTAAGCAGTCCGTCGACAATGGATGCAAATTATGCAAGCTCTTGTACAATGGTTATCTTCATACACGCCACGAACGGCGATCAGCGAAGCAAGAAAGCGACTCGGTACAGGATACCGAGTCCAAACTATCGAAATCACTAGGCGCCGAGACACCGGGAACTTTCATCTTCTATGTCCCCTACGACTATTACGAACTCTCTGGGCCTCTTCGGATATTCTTCTGTCACACGGACATGTTCGAGGAATCGACACTTGAGGCAGTTTCGCGGCATGACAGTTACGCTATGGCAGAATTCGCCATTGCTGTAAATCCTGGTGAGTATTGGTAAACCAGAAACTGCGTGACACTTTCTGACACTTTCTGCCCAGATGACCCCTTTTTCTCGGATGGGGAGAGATCTTTTTCTTTAGGGAGATTATGCGCCCCTGAAGCCGACTTTTCTCTAGCAGCGAGTTGGCTCCTCGACTGCCAGAAGAATCACCATTGCCAGGCCACTCACCACAATCCCATTGGCATTAATCAGCAGAATCCGACGCGGTTGCTTCGCCTGCAGCCAAATAAGGGTATCATCAGTCTATTCGGCACCATCGAATCCCAACAGTACGACTATATCGCACTCTCACATCGCTGGGGCCAATCCAAACCTGCTGTGACCTTGACCAGCAACTTGCACGCCCGGATGGCGGGCATCTCAATCAACACCTTACCACAAACATTTCAAGATGCGGTCATGGCGACGTATAGGCTCGGCTACGAGTTTATCTGGATTGACTCACTTTGCATCATTCAGGATGATAAAGCAGACTGGGAGAGGGAGTGCCCTAAGATGTCCGATGTGTATCGAGGGGCGGTCTTGACGATTGCTGGACCGGCGGCCACAGACTCCAGTGCCGGATTCCTACACAAGAGAGAATTTGTGACCAATGAGCAGTATGCTCCTTGTAAACTGCAAAGCATTGACGGAAAGGCAAATGGCAATGGGGTACTAACTATATGGTACCCCGGCTGCCACCGAGAACCAACAGCAGAGACTGATGTGAAGACACGCCGCCTCAGTGCTTTGGACAGTCAGCCAGACAGCGTCTTACAGAACCGAGGATGGATCATGCAGGAATATCTGCTTTCGGGTAGGATTCTATATCTCGGATCTTTTCAAATGTATTTCGAATGTGGTCGCGCGTCCTGGTTTGAGTCTACATTTCGGTCAAGGAACCCATCCAGATATTCCAGCCAAGACATGTCGCTCAAGAAATCTCTCAATGATCATATCGGCAAGTCTGATATCTTGCGGGAAGACTGGCATGATTTCGTGAGGCGCTATTCGCTATGCGCTCTCACGAACCCCACGGATAAGTTGCCCGCCATCTCGAGCATTGCGCAATCGTTGGACTCTCTGGGTCAGCAAAGCTACTATGCCGGAATTTGGGGGTCTCATCTCCCAGAATCTCTTCTTTGGCTCGTTTCCAGTGACACAGAAAATCAAGCACAGATACAGCTAGATAACAAATCGGCCAAAACAGCGGCTTATATAGCGCCCAGCTGGTCCTGGGCTTCGACAAAGGCGCATGTTCAGTTCATTGCCTTGCAAAGAAGACAGATCTGCCCCATTAGTGTTCTTTCATGCTCTACCAAGTTAAGCGGAGTGGCGCCTGATCCTGATCGCTTCGGTTGTGTTAGTGATGGGAGAATCAGCATCAAGGGGAGGCTCATCCGCGTGCTGATGATCGGAGATGAAAAAGGAGGTAAATTCCTAGCTTGGAAATGGCCAACAACTTCTCAGTCTCAACACGCCAAATCCTCGATCAAAAACATCCATCGAACATCAAGGAACTACGAAGGCGACGCCTCTGCTGGCTTGACATTGTCAGGATGCGGCGAGTTCTCTCCTGATGATGCATCAGCATATAAAGCCCACATTTCGAGCGATGAATGTTCGTTTCGCAAATTCAACTCATCTGTACGAATAAACGAGGCGGGCAGGGGGAAGATGAGTATGCTGCCGCTGCAGGAAACATTTGCTCTGCAGGCAGTGATAGGGTCCGGATATACATACAATGCTCTTGCTGTGGAGCGAGTACCCAACATGGCAAACACTTTCCGTCGAATAGGATGTATCTCCTTTGGTGTATGGGCATTGGAGCAAATCACCTGGTTTGAAGATGTAGTTCCACAAACAATTGAGATTGTATGAAACGCTTGACTTAGAATACATGATTTTTTGGTTCAGTTTGCCATAAAGACCCCAAATCAAATGTAATGATATCCGACACCTAGATCTCTTACATTTAGGTATTGAGTTGACACTCATCCCAAAGACTCACTATCGAATAATTACAATGGCAAATCGCAGAGGCCCTCCTGGGCACAATCCTTCTGAGCCTGCAGGCTCCATGTAACAACCTCCGATAGCACCTGGTGATCCTCATCCTTCAACAAGATCTTGTACTCGGCCTGATTCTCCTCGGAGCTCTGGTCCCAAGGGGGGTACCATACAGCCCCATAGACCTCAACGCCCGATGTGCGGCCAGACTCCTCGGCAGTAATGTCGCGAACACCAATATGCAAAACACCCCAAGTGGTGCCTGAGAGAAGGGTCTTGGGGCCCGCACGCTGGAATGGCCCAAAGGCCGGATCAATAGCCCACTCGGAGGGATAGTCATCTGTACCGAAGGTCCGAGGCTGGAACTCGGGTATCGTAAAGTTGACAAGCTTGGAACCAAATGATGAGAGAACACCGCCCCAGCCTTCGAATAGGTGTGATCTTTGCTGGACAAGTGAGAGGTTTTCAGTAAACTTGTAATAGTGCTCCGGGTTGCCGCGAAGGTAGGCCTCATCAGCCGCCTCAGTTGTCATCCAGGTAGCAAATTGGGTTGCTGTGAGACTGCCGTTGAAGTAGGCTCGGACCCAACCACGAGCCGAAATCCACTGGTCTCGAGAGGCAGTAGATTCAGCAACAACCTTCTCCCAGAAGGCCTCGCCTTCTTTAATATCGTCGGACAGGAGAGTGAAAAAGGCATCCTTGTTCTCGGCTGCGAGACACTCCTTGAGTGTGTATAGCGACTCTGCGTCAGTCTGGTCGGTAACCTCGCAGCTAGTTTGGTAGTTCTTCTCCGCGATTCTCTGATGTAAACGAGTGGCGGCTTGCTCAGCGGCAACGGTGACATAGTGGTCCTTGATAGCTGTAGGCTCTGGTTCGCCATCGGCCTCCCAACGGATCTCAAAGTCGACACCTCCGTGTGTCTCGATGGCGACTGCCACAGAGAGAACGGAGGCAACAGCAAGAGTCTTGAAAAGCATGACGAGATGGGCTGTATATTTGAGGTTGGGAGGTCAGGTTGCGAGACTCTCCCAGCCAAAGTAGAGGGCGGCCTCGGTCTATATAGAAATTTTGTTGTTCCAATATTTATGACGGTAGTGAAATAATTCGGGAAATCTGATCGGCAGTTGGCCTTCCTTCGGTTTCAAAACCCTGTCTGAAACAGTGTTCCCGGGTTTATACTTTATAGTGCTTACGGTACAGACCGCTTATTTTGATATTCACAGGATGTTATCCCACCACGTGTGACGAACAAGATGTTTATTCTGCCATTCATTTGCGGATCGCCAGTCGATGTTCATGGCTCTAGTGGCGTGAATCCTTAACCGTATTTCCTTTCGTTCTTTACCTACTCAGGAACATCTAAAGGAGATTCTCTTGACCGTTAGATATTACTCGTTCCCCCATGAAATTTCTTTTCAGTGCAGGGGGGGTACGCTGACAACAAGGTGCCGCCTATCTGTGGCGAACCCGG